AGATGTGTAGCAGTTTTCGTGGCAGGCGCAGCACTTTGGACGTGTCCATCGTCATTTTTCGTGGCAGGCGCAGCACTTTAGACGTGCCGTGTTGCGTGTTTTTTGCAAATCGCATTGGCAGGGCTGCGTCAAGTGGCGCAGCCAAATTAGTGGCAGTCGTGGCATTTTGTGCGATGTGCTGAAAATTGACGGAAGCCTCGCACGAAACATTGATTTTGAGGTTGCAAATTTTCAGGTTCTAAGGAAAACTCATAGGAAAACGTCGATTTTGAAGCTACAAAGTGTGAAAATTGGAGGAAGTCTCGTACGAAATGCAAGTTTTTCTGCACCCACGTGTCTCGTCTCCAGTTGCTGGTTTTCCTATGGCGTCGCCGTGTCTATGGGGAAAGCTGGAAAACCTGTCCTTTTGTCATGTTGCCAACGGTGAAAATTGCCGGATGTCTCGCACAAAATACTCGTTTTACTGCATCCATGCGTCTCGTCTCGAGTCCCTGGTGTTCCTGTGGCGTCGCCGTGTCTATGGGGGAAGCTGGAAAACCTCTCCTTTTCGAAGGTTTCCAAGGAAGTTGTCATGTCGTTTTGCGTGGCAGGCGTGGCACTTTGTGACATTCCAACCTCTTTGATAATGTGTCAAAAATGTCAAAATTGGAGGAAGTCTCGTACGAAATGCTGGTTTTTCTGCATCCACGTGTCTTGTCTCGAGTCGCTGGTTTTCCTGTGGCGTCGCCGTGTCTATGGGGGAAGCTGGAAAATTTCTCCCATTCGAATGTGTCCAAGCAGGTTGTCATATCGTTTTGCGTGGCAGGTGTGGCACTTTGTGACATTCCAACCTGTTTGATAACCTGTCGAAAATATCAAAATTGGAAGAAATCTCGCAGGAAATGCTTGTTTTTTTGCACCCACGTGTCTCGTTTCGAGTTTCTGGTTTTCGCACTCCACACTCCACACACACTCCACACTTTACACTTTACACTCCTCACCCCACACTCTACACTCCACACTCCCCACTTTACACTCCACACTCCACACTCTACACTTTCCACTCCACACTCCGCACTCCACACTCCACACTTTACTGTGCACTCCACACTCCACACTTTATACTTTACACTCCTCACTCCACACTCCACACTTTACACTCCACACTTTACACTCCACACTCCGCACTTTACACTCCTCACTCCACACTTTACACTCCCCACTTTACACTCCCCACTCCACACTCCACACTTTACACTCCACACTTCACACTCCACACTTTCCACTCCACACTCCACACTCCACACTCCACACTTTACACTCCACACTTTACACTCCTCACTCCACACTTTACACTCCACACTTTACACTCCACACTCTACACTTTACACTCCACACTTTACACTCTACACTCCACACTCTACACTTTACACTCCACACTCTACACTCCGGACTTTACACTCCACACTCCACACTCTACACACCACACTCTACACTTTCCACTTCACACTCCACACGCTAGACTCTACACTCCACACTCTACACTTTACACTCTACACTTTACACTCTACACTTCACACTCTACAATCTACAAACTCCACACTCCTCACTCCACACTTTACACTCCTCACTTTACACTCCACACTCCTCACTCCATCCTTTACACTCCTCACTTTACACTCCACACTCCACACTTTACACTCCTCACTCCACACTCTACGCTCTACACTCCACACTCCACACTCTACACTCCACACTCTACACTTTACACTCCATACTCCACACTCTACACTTTACACTCCGCATTCTAACACGTTACACACTCTACACTCCCCACTCCACACTTTACACTCCACACTCCTTACTTCACACTCCACACTCCACACTCTACACTTTCCACTCCACACTGCAGACTGGTAACAAGGGAAACATGTACAAGACTGTTCAAACAAACTATTGCAGAAAGGTATTGTGCGTGACTGCATAACCATGTGTTTTGACATCTGTACCAGTAACATACGTGTGAGCATTCGGGTTCGTGGGCTTCATCTTGTTTAATGGTTGATACCACCCATTTATGGTGATTTTGGGGATGGTTTATTATTGCTTTAACCACATTAGCCACCTTTGATGACATCTGAGCATACCATAAGAATCCGGAGATATTTTCTTATGACTCCACCTTTTCTGACCGCCGTAACCTTTCTTTTCTTCCCGGTGCCTAAAGGATTCATCGGTCGCCGCCAGCCAGCTGATCATGTCTGAGAATTTGTTCATCTCGCAATTGATGCTGGTTGGGTGCGCCAAGTCTGTACGACCTCCGCGGAAGTTCGGGACCAGTGGGAAACACAGGGCGGAAATTAGGGGGGTTATTGGTTTTCTGTCACAAACTGTATATATATAATTATATATATAATTATATATAATTATATATTATATATATATAAGTATATAAGTATAATTACAAGTATGCATATGTACTTGAATCTCTCTCTCTCTCTCTCCCCCCTCCCCATCGCCATCTCAGAGACGACTCAGAGAGACATACATGTGTTATATATATATATATTATATGATAAAGAAAGAGTGAGCTACACGAATCACGCTAATACTTCTCTGGGAAAATGATCTAGAATTGGAGGCTTGACCCCACATTTTTTTTTAATTACTGTGCAGCAGGGCAGACCCCAACAACAATAGGCTTTCTATGTTCTGTTGGATATCATAATGGAATATAATGGGGCACCTATGGGATGTATAACCATGTATAACCAACATCCCAAGATCTCTGGCTTTGTCTGAAAAATGGGCATGCCCAGCATGATGATAAATGATAATCCACTGGAATTGGGGGCATGAGATTTTCACACAAAACCCCATATACGTCGTAGTAGCTGCGAGCTGCGTTTAGCTGGGGAAATTGCTGAACGGCATTCGATAGCTATTTATGTAAAGCATATGTTTTCAGCATGGTGTGTCTTCTTCATACTCCGTAGCACATTTGTTTGACGCATTTTACCCTCTGGTAAACTAACGTAGCTATAGAAAATCACCATTTTTAATGGGAAAACTCACTATACATGGTACTTTTCAATAGCTACGTTAAATTACCAGAGTGTACATTCCACAAAAAGTGTGACGCTGCTGCAGTGGCACGCAACAAATTACCACCAGATACTGGTGGATCTGCATCCCAGTAAGGTGTTCAACCAACCCATCTCCGGTATATCTGGATATAAAAAAATATCCCGTTTCAAACTGGGCCAACATAGCTAACCACAAAGAAAAAACCTAGCCGCTAGCTCATTTATTGAAGATATCCCAGGTCTTTCTTATTATTCCTTATGATTTTCAAGAAATATTATTACCACAATATCTGGGCAAATTACAAGACTTCATCAGCCTGAGAAGTCCGGCTCTGGGAGGGTGTTCAATGAATGGCTATGTATCATGATGCAGCCCATTTTGGAGGCCATATGAGGCTATATATATATATACGCGCAACGCCTGGGTTTTGCCCAGGCGTTGCAGCGTAGAGGTTTCCCATTCACAAACAAATGATGTTGCAAATTACCGTAATTCCTATGGGGAAAATAACAAAGGTACTAGGGACTATTAAACAAACAAGGTCAAAACACCCGAAATTCCTATGGGAAAAACAAAAACGGCATAACATTTGAAATTCCTATGGGAAAAACAACAAAGGTACTAGGAAATTTTAAACTCTCAAATCAGGAAACTTAACATTCAATTAGGAAGATCAACAAAGATATTAGGGAATATTAAACTCCCACCCCCGTTAAACCTTAAATTCCTATGGGGAAAACAACAAAGGTACTAGGGACTATATAAAAAAAAATGTCAAACCACCCGAAATTCCTATGGGAAAAACAAAAACGGTATTAGGGAATATTAAACTCCCACCCCCGTTAAACTTTACATTCAATTGGGAAGATCAACAAAAAAATGAGGGAATATTAAACTCCCACCCCCGTTAAATTTCTACATTCATTGAAGATCTTCAATAAGGGTTTAATTCTCCCACCCCCGCTAAACTTCTACATTCATTGAAGATCTTCAATAAGGGTTTAATTCTCCCACCCCCTTTAGACTTCAACATTCATTGAAGATCTTCAATAAGGGTTTAATTCTCCCACCCCCGTTAAACTTCTACATTCTACATTCATTGAAGATCTTCAATAAGAGTTTAATTCTCCCACCCCCGTTAAACTTCTACATTCATTGAAGATCTTCAATAAGGGTTTAATTCTCCCACCCCCGTTAAACTTCTACATTCATTGAAGATCTTCGATAAGGGTTTAATTCTCCCACCCCCGTTAAACTTCTACATTCATTGAAGATCTTCAATAAGGGCTTAATTCTCCCACCCCCGTTAAACTTCTACATTCATTGAAGATCTTCGATAAGGGTTTAATTCTCCCACCCCCGTTAAACTTCTACATTCATTGAAGATCTCCGATAAGGGTTTAATTCTCCCACCCCCTTTAGACTTCTACATTCATTGAAGATCTTCAATAAGGGTTTAATTCTCCCACCCCCTTTAGACTTCTACATTCATTGAAGATCTTCAATAAGGGTTTAATTCTCCCACCCCTGTTAAACTTCTACATTCATTGAAGATCTTCAATAAGGGTTTAATTCTCCCACCCCCGTTAAACTTCTACATTCATTGAAGATCGTCAATAAGGGTTTGATGATGTTGATGATGTTGATGATGATGATGATGATGATGATTATGTTGATGAACATGATGTTGATGATGTTGATGTTGATGTTGATGATGATGATGATGATGCGTCGCCCGTCGTCATTGCGGGTCCGGGCAAAACCCAGGCATTTGCCGTGTATATATATATATAACTTAATCCCACAACAAATTCCCATGGTCACAAAACAACATGAAAATCATCATCTGCTGCATAAGGTCACCCTTAAAATGGATGCTTAAAGTCCCAACGCCCCCCGTTTTTTTTGTACCGACCCCCCCTTCGGCAGCCCACATGGAGGGTCCATGTTCAAATACTTCGGGCAGCTACAGTCGCAAGCCTTCACCTCTGCACCTGGAAACTCCGCAAGGTGAAGATTTCTGAAGGGAACGACAGGGAACGAAAACATCGATTGCCAACGCATAATAAGTCGTATTATCATTGTATTACCCTCTGGTAAACTAACATAGCTATTGAAAATGGCCATTTATAGTGGATTTTCCCATTAAAAATGGTGATTTTCCATAGTTATGTTAAATTACCGGAGGGTACATTGTATTACCATACATGTCTTGACAGTTCGGTGAATATGGTGAATCAATTTAGAGCAGCTATTCCTTTGGGATATGCTTTCATATGCTTTCGCCCCTGGGGTGATTAGAACAAAACGACACAACCCTGCCTGTCACAGAATCACGGAGTGGAAATGAAGGCTGGCAAATGCTGCTATGTTGATTCACGCAGAAGGCGCAAATCCAATACCTTGGTACGATCTGGAGGTGGGTTGTGTGCGAAGGATCAACTGAGCGAAGCTATCCAGGCATAACCGGCGTAACCTATCTACCCCGCAAAATGTTTATCTCCATCCTTAGTTGAAGGTCAGCCCACTAACCAACAAAACCAGGACCCAGACGAAACAGCCAGGGCCGTGCCATCAAGGCATGGTTTGCACCGGAAAATCATGGGAACTCATGGGTAAATCCATGCTGATTCTGTTGCTTCCCCACAGCCTCAACCAGAAATGATCTTCCACTTGACCCCATTTGATGTTCGTAAATCGCCTTAAATATCTTAAATCCCATTTTGCCGGCTGACATTCCTACTTGATCCCTCTTGATCCCATCTCGTGGTGTCATTTACCCTACTGAAAACGAAGATTAGAACAACTGGTTGGGGCTTGGAAAATCATTTCTCGCACTTGGAAAGGATCATTTGTGGGCTCCATCTTGCTAGGGATGTGAATAGATCATAGATAACACATAATAGATATCAATCATTAATAAATGACAAACAATACATAGAAATAAATAACACATAATAATTAAAATGCATAATAAACAATAAGACACCTTAAAAACACAAATAACATCAAAACAAACTAAATAAATAAATATACAAATACATGGACAAATGAATACACAAAATAAATACATAAGTAAATAAATAAATGGAAAAAATACATAAATAAACAAATAACATGTACTAAAACAAAAATAGATAGATAGATAGATAGATAGATGGATAGATAGATAGATAGATAGACAGATAGATAGATAGATAGATAAATAGATAGATAGACGGATAGACAAGATAAGATAAGATAAGATAATATAATATAAGATAAGATAAGATAGATAAGATAAGATAGATAAGATAAGATAGATAAGATAGATAAGATAGATAAGATAGATAAGATAGATAAGATAGATAAGATAGATAAGATAGATACGGTAGATAAGATAGATAAAATCGATAAGGTAGATAAGAAAAGATAGATAAGAAAAGATAGATACGATAGATAAGATAGATAAGAGCGATAAGAGCGATAAGATCGATAAGATCGATAAGACAGATAAGATAGATATGATAGAACATGATAGATAAGAGATAGATAAGATAGATAAGAAAGATAAGATAGATAAGATAGATACGATAGATACGATAGATAAGATAAGAGCGATAAGATCGATAAGGTCAATAAGATCGATAAGATCGATAAGATCGATAAGATCGATAAGTTGATACGATCGATAAGATCGATAAGATAGATACGATAGATAAGATAGATACGATAGATAAGATAGATAAGATAGATAAGATCGATAAGACGGATATATATGATAGATATGATGTAAATGATAGATAAGATAAGATAGATAAGATCGATAAGATAGACACGATAGATACGATAGATACGATATATACGATTGATAAGATGGATAGGATGGATAAGATGGATAAGATAGAAAAGATAGATCAGATAGACCAGATAGATAAGATAGATAAGATAGATAAGATAGATAAGATCGATAGATAGATAGGACAGGACAAGATAGGATAGGATAGGATTAGGATTAGGATTAGCATTAGGATTAGATTAGATTAGATCAGATAGATAGATAGACAGACAAACAGATAAGGATAGGATAGGATAGGATAGGATAGGATTAGATTAGATTAGATAGATAGATTAATTAGACAAACAAATAGATAAGGATAGGATAGGATAGGATAGGATGGGATAGGATAGGATAAGATTAGATACACAAATAGACAAATACGTAAATACATAAATAAATACTTATACAAATGCACAATAACAAATGATAAATAAATCAATAAAACAATCATTGTAAATCCAATTCCCTTCTGCCATGTCCTTCTCTGCGTACTTTGCACAGCTACATGCTCTGGAGATCACCCGTTCTCCGGAGCCAGCCCTTCACCAAGTCGATGTCACTGTCCAGCAGCACAGCGATGCGCGCATAGTTGGAATCCTAGCCACGGCGGCCACCAGGTGGTCACCAGTGGCAACCCCCCATGGATAAAAATGGCTGGGTTGATCAACATCGCCACATAAATCTAATTAAATCTACCAGGGAATAGACATTCATTGATCTTGGAAAAGTACTCACGACTTCCACTTTTTTTGCGTGATAATTTTGACCCATACCAAATCATGTCGAATCTTGGCCAACCTGCAACAACAGTTGGTTTGGTTCATGATATATTCTACTTGAATTTGCAAAACATTAAGTTGGACCAAATTACCTTGATCAAGGATTGCTGACAAATTCTTGATGGTTAAACCCCAACTTTTTGCTACTAGCTCCCAACATTTCAATGGTTACAGTAACCCATCCATGAACTTAAGGTTTATCCAGGTTTTCTCCTGGTAACATACTAATTTTTGTAGCAAAAAACACAAACCCCAGTCAGTTAGTTTCCCTATTCAGATCACATCCATGATTATCCATGGTTTATTGGACAAAAGCATCACTATGGCCAAGAAATCCCCATCAACCCCAAGAAATCACCATAGAATTCACCATAGAAATCCAGCATTTTGGTGGTTAGATCCCACCCCCCTTGGAAAAACCGTTGCAACACCCCTGCTGCGAAATCGCACCGGCCGCCTGCAAGGCCTCCGCCACCACCGAAGCCACGAGGTCACGGAAGCGCGAGTGCCAGGTGTGGGTGACCATGGCGTTGGGCCGCTTGCGTCGGCCCTGCATTAAGATCTTGGACATGTCCTGTCAATGGCCATTTCAGGAAGCCATTTATTGGAGGTACCTACCATATATAAGGCCTATGTAAGGGCTATGTAAGGGAATATCCCCACAAAATATGGCCTTATATGGTACAGAACTTCCATTTTAGGATCCTGACATTCCCATTGATCCTGGGAGGAAGATATGGAGGAAGCTATGGATTTCCACACCAGCCGGTGGATTCACATGGGATTTCCACGGCAGCCATGGTGAGGTGGCGGATGACATGGATTCACATGGCTTGGGCATAGCGATGGTGATTTTACCAGCATATCATGGTGATAATGAAAAGGGTGAGAGTTTAAGAGGCATGGAAAAAACTATGGGGCACAGGAAGGGGGGTTTACACATACAAGAGGCATAGTGATGAAATAACTCATTTACTCAGAAAGTGTGGCAGGGGTTGACATGTCCTAAGAGGTATAGCCTCATGGCATGGGATAGTGATTTTGCCAGCACAATATGGTGACAACATAGGGCTTCAGGGTGCCAAAATATGCAGGACTAAGAAGCATGGCTGGAAAATGCAACAAACAAACAAACAAACAAACACAAACACACACACACACACACCGAATTTTCACATGTTTTTACCAGCAAAATATCTAGAAGCCCGAGGTTTGTAAGTGGTTACATATGAGGCATGGATATCATTGATGCTGGTTAAAATGCCCCACATATGAAAAAACATCAAGGACACAATATAAAAGTACAAGGTTTCTTTTTCTTTCCTCAACAACCATCAGCATCATCAGCTAGGGTTTTTGGAAAACATTTTCTAAAGGAAAGGGCATGGAATCTCAACAAAGTCCAAAGAGCCGGTTTGAGTCACTGGGATGTAACCAACAGAAAGAGGGATCTGACTAGCAAAAATGAACTTTGAGTTGTTTCTTTACACAACCCGACTATCTAACTGCGAGCAACTGATGTTTCCTGCGCCATTTCCGAAGCTTGATGGCGGTTGGGATGCTTTTCTCAGAAGCACCACTAATATAGCATCATAGCATCATATATCTGAGTATCAAAAGTCTTCCTGTTGTATGGTTCAGAATCCCATAGAATCACCACAGATTCCAACATCCAAAAAAAAAAAAAAAGGCGGTCTCCACTGCCCCAGCGTCCGACTGATGTGGGGCGCTCAGAGGGATGATCGCTTGTCGGACCACGTCATCCTGGTTTTTCGCCGTCCAAAAGACGACCAAAATAGGACAAGTCGCGATACAATGCGGGGATATATGGGGAACTTGGATGGCAAAAACACACACACATAATATATATATAATTATATATAATATACATATATATGGGATATGGGGATATATGATAACATATGATGAATCATCCTCCCATTCGGATGGAAAATTAATGAAAATTCAACAGATTTCAAAACATCAATCGATTGGAATGGCACAGGTCGTGGCTGTTCACCAGCTAAAAATTGCTGACTGTGTCATGGGCGTTTCGCGGCCACGTCCTCTGCTTTCCAGTCGTTGTGATCCAATATCATCCAATATCCATCAGTCGTTGTGAAGCAAACAACATCAAACAACACTTGCACATGGTATCTTAAGCGGTTCTCAGTGCTGCAGTACATTTCAGTACATGATCAGGATTTGTCAACCAACACTAGCCGCACTAGCCACCATCCGTCCGATATCGCCACAGTCTCCACTATGGTCCCATCAAGAGGCTGTGGTATGTCGATGCGAATCGAAGTGATGCATGTAGTCACGTCCCAGACCGCTGTAAAAATTCCTCATGCTTTCAGGATTAAGGATTACCAGGGCAGGTCGAGAAGTAGGCGCTAGGATATTTATCAGTGGATCTGATCTGATAAATATATCACTAGCAACGCTAAGATGCCAGCCAAAAATATATGGATTTTCTAATGATCATTGAATGGGTTTTTGGAGGGAACAACTACAGAAAACAATGCTTTGTTGTCAATCTCATCATCCTACTAAAATTAATTCCACGAGAATCCCTGGCGGAATTTGATCCATTTAGAACCCCTTTTTCATTGAGTATTTAACATTGCAGGGTCCCAGAGCTGTCCTGAGGCAACCCCACAAGAGACTTCGGGATTGGAAAGCCTCCCACCGATGATGGTGGTAATAGCGGAACCAATTTATGGGGATGTGGTGAGGATATGACATATGGTTGGATATACAGTAAATGACGGAATACGCAACCAACATTTATATGTGGCTGGACATCCATCCCAGAATTGGATCCATATAAGGGGCATATAAATCCCGATGGATTAATGACCATCATCCATCATCCAAATATAGGCAATTTGCCTGCGTTTTGACTCCACCAGGCAGTCGGCCTAATCCCTCGCTAGAGAGAGAGAGAGAGAGAGAAACGAAGGCATGAAGCTGAAACAGGCGATCACAACTACATCTGTCACAAGAAATCGAAACTGTACACCGTACCGTCACGGACCATCATCACAAACTCACAAGCGTCCGAACTTCCTCAAGCGATGATCTAAACGTTTGGCCTGAAGAACACGTGCCTCATGGGGAGTCGTGTCAAACTCTTCTGTCACACGATGTTACACGAGGACCGCAAGGATCCATGTCATACTGCTTTGGAGTAGCAATGGAATCGTTGCCAGCCAAATCACAACGTGGCGCATATGATGTTGCACTACTTTGCCTCGACATATATCAACACCAGATGGTTTACAACTGAGCATGGCGGACATCTGCCTCTATTCAATAATACTCAGTGGGCGTGAGTATCCAGAAATCTTGCTTCACAATCTTCCAACCTGCATATTATCTCATTGTTGAGAGCTAAATGCCTTGAAGCGAACTGCTGGAACCGAAGTTTGATGAATTTGGCTCTGGATCTGGATTCCCCACGGCGAATCTTAAAGGCTGGAAGGATCTGATCTTTTATGTTTTTTTTTTTCCCCCCCCGCTTCTACTTTCCCAACATGCTTACTGTAAATCACAGATACATAAAATATGTTACATAAATGAGGTAAACCGGTAAACCCAATAAACAATCCTTCATTTTGAATTTTATGGAAGCCATGCTATTTTTTTGTCCTGTTGGGCGTACGTTGCCAGTCAAACTGCTTTGCAACTCCAATCGCGACTCCATCTGTTTGATGCTCAAACCATCTGAAAATCCCCAAATCAAAACCGTTCCACATCCATTTAACATCAATTTAACCGTTTAACATCCATTTAGAATCATTTGTGTTTGATGCTTCAAATGGATGTTAAATGGGATTTTCAAATGGTTACATGGATATACATGGATCATCATGGATCTATAATTTCATTATCATTTCAACTCCATTATCATTTGTTGAACCAAAAACTCCATTATCATGGATCTATAACTTCACTATCATTATCAATTTCATTATCATTAAACATCAAAAAATGCTTTGATTTTCACCTTCCCCGTTCTGCCCGTTCCGAAACGCTCAGCAGCGAGCGTCAGTAAGGCCTCGAGACTCAGAGCTCTTTTGGCCAAATCTTCGACCTGCGAAAAGGGCGGCCATGGTCCAACATGATCCGTCATGTGTACTCCACACACACACACGCACACACACACACACATATATATATTATATAAATGACATCATATATGTATGTCAAATAACCAATATTGTATCTATATAATCATGTAATTAATAATGTATGATTTAGAGTCATTTAGATTGATTTATGTAGATTTAGGACAATTAAATCAAGCTTCAACCTTTGTGAACTCTTGCCTTCATCGATTTTAGGGACCTGCATAGCTGCTAGCTCATCTTTGATGTCATAGCTAGTGGCTGAAACAAACCTCTGACCTGGATGCGTAGTCAAAACATCAGGAAATTATTCTGGTTGGTGTTTTTTAACCTCCCGCTGGTAAGGTTGAGTATGGCTTGACTTTATTTGGCTTTACCATCTTTGCCGCAATCATATGCCATTGTGCACCACTTCCACGAAGGCAGTATGTTGTCTTGCTGTTTTGCCAGAATTTCCACCAAGTTCCCCTGGATCTAACTGGACTAATTAGCTTTCTTTTTCGAGGCCCAAACTCATATACTGTAGTTAGAAACAAAGTATTTCGGGGGCTCGCCATGTTGAACATGGTTTAACACGGTTCAACCATGTTTAACCATCTTTTGGTCGTTGAAAGGTGTTAAACCCACCATGACATACCATAAGCACCATGTTCCTGGCCAAAACCACCATGGAAACTGGCACCTTCTGTTGCCAGCCCTCGTCCATGGCAGGCAGATAGGTCCTCTGTCGCTCCCCGCGTTTGCGGATCCGCGCTTGTTCCTCCTCGTGCCTTTGGTGTGTGGCCTGCTGGGGTCGCATCGGGGATGGAAGTTTTGGAATATCCATGCCTATTATGAATTTATTTTATGATATATCGTCATGATGTGTCATGATACCATATATGCATATATATGCACATTGTACATCTATGTCTAGAAACAAAAAAATGTCCTGGTCGTATTTGTTTGCTGGAACTAAAACGAGATGAAACAGACGGAATCGCCAAGCAGGTACATTCGAAAGCGAGAGATCTCAGGGTCCACGCCAGTTACCCAGTTACCGGTGCCCAATCTTTCAACACAATTTCGGGGCGCGTCTGAAAATGGAGCATACCCCCATGGCTGGCACTTTTAGTAGGGAACATGGTGATAAACCATCAAATTATGGGGTACCTATGGGGTACCTATGGGTACCTTATTTTCAGAAAAACCCATTCTTTGGCCCCTGCAATGTCAGTGAATTTGTCACAGCTTTGAGGTGGAAACTCTCCGAAATCATCTGCTGAGGAGCAAAGAGAGAAGAAAATCCCATGATGTACGTGATGCCGACAATCAAACTCACAAACCAGAGGTTGCAGGCCAACGACGAATCCGTCAAGACGAAAGTGAAAAAACCTCAGATAAAACTGGCTGTCTGAAGTGGGTTATGTTGGGGATGGATCACAGCTAGAGTTGATTCGACCAAGAGGCAAATGAGGCTGTAGGCATAAATTTCATATCCTTCGAATAGTTTTTTTTTGCAAATTGATTAGTACTTATTGATTTCAATAGCTATGGCAGCTACGAGTTCCTCGAAGCATCTTGAAGCCAGGATCAAATGTCAAGCTCTCAGGCAGTTGGTCCATTTCATCATTTCTCTGTTTTGATGGGTCATTTTTAAACCTCTACGTCTACTGACATTCTCCATTTTTGCTGCTGAAGCTTTCTGACTTCTGTTCTCCCATGTTCCACCTGCACCAGGACACTGTTCCCAAGACTCTCGTGCACTCTCTTCACCATATCGTCGGGGATGGGCCACAGATAGCCGCTGAAGAGCATGCTGTGCACCAAAATCAGCAGCCGTGTCAGACTACAAAGGCCCAAAGTCCTGCCAGTGCTATGATGATGCACCCTGATATTGCCGGCTGAGGTCGTCTCGCACTAGCGAGACGAAAACAAGCACATACCTATCAAACATGATGATTCTTCATAGCATTCCATACCTACGTTTAAACATGCTCGACCCAACCCGGACGTTGCTCCACACTTACAATCGTCATGATGATGATGATGATGATCATCATCACACTAAATTTCGCCACCCCCTCTGAACAAAATGTTGACTGAGGTAATAACATCAACTTTATGTTCACGAGGGGTCAAAATTTGCTACCCCCTCTGAACAATATGTTGGTTGGGGTACTAACATCAACTACATCTCCATGAGGGATCAACATTCGCCACCCCCTATGAACAATATGTTGGTTGGGGTAATAACATCATCTTCATCTTCACGAGGGTCAAAATTCACCACCCCTTCTGAACAATATGTTGATTGGGGAAATAACATCAACTGTATCTTCATAGCCACCTGAAGTCAGATGCGGCGCAACGTCAGGGCTGCAGCGAACATGTTTAAACATGTTTAAACAATGCCAGAAGGTAATTGAAACTGGTGATGCCTGGGTAAAATCATCCAGACTCATCCAACATGTTTCTTTTGGATGGGGAGACACCAGGATTCTTGGGTAGTAAATCCCCGCCTGCGATACGTTCGGATCTTGTAAATCGCCGCCATCACGTCCGGATTCGCCAAACCATCTTGGCGCCCCCGCGCACGATCCACTTCGGCAACGAGAAAGTTGAGACCAGTGCGCAAGATGAAGTAAAAGTAGATCCTGGTCTGGAGTAAGATGGACTAAGTTGGTTCAGGCACCTTCCTCTAAGCTATAATTGCCCCTCTGTGTTTCGGCTGACGTGTACCGTTCTGGTTGACGTTGTCGGGGACGTTGTAGACCCCATTTTTTTTTTCCTTACGTAAATTTTGACGTTGTAAACGCCGATTTTTTTTGTCTTACGTAAATTTTGATGTTGTAAACGCCGTTTTTTTTTGTCTTACGTAAATTTTGACGTTGTAAACGCCGTTTTTTTTTGTCTTACGTAAATTTTGACGTTGTAAACGCCGATTTTTTCCTAACGTACATTTTGACGCGGTACAAAAACCAAATTCTTTTTTCTTACATAAATTTGGATCTTGTAAACGCCACTTTTAGTCTTGTTCATGTCATGATTGATGTTATCAACCCCAAACTTTTCTTGCTTCAAGTCATGACTGACATTGTGAGTTGTATTTTTTGTTTCCTGTGATTTTTGCGTCATGAGTCATGATTCGTGATTTACTATGCGCGCCCATTTTTGTTCATGTCGTTATTGCAATGATTGTCTTGATGTTGAGATGGGTCAATTCTTTTTTGTATTGTCACACTCCTGATTTCACAGTTTGGGTTTTGGTTTGTTTTTTGAAACTCAGCTGGCATTGAATCTGGTGGGTGTGTTTAACTTGTTTTTGTCCCTTCATTGGCCCTTCATTGGTTGGTTTTGCCGTCGTCGTCGTCGTCGTCGTCGTCCTCGTGGTTGTTGTTGTTGTTGTTGCTCTTCTTCTTCTTCTTCTTCTTTTTCTTCGTTTTTCCAGTTCTTGTTCTCGTTGTTCCGTTCTTGGTGATAACCGTGCTTGTGGCTGTGGTTCTTCCATTGTGTAAAGGTCACTGTCACACATTGGTACATGGTTGAGTTGTCACATCGTCACTTCCTGCGTGTAAGTGTTGCATAATACATAATGCTGAATAAATGATGAACTAATTTGTTTCCTTAAGCCTGGTAGATCCTGGTAGGCTGTGGCAAGTAAAATTGGTAGGTAACGGCAGGTAACAAGACAAGACTCACCTGCGAGAAAGGCAGGTCCGATCAATAAAGCAAAGATATAACAGGATGTATGCATGCATGCATGTCTATGTCTGTATTTATGTATGTGGGTTGTATGCGTTTTGAAACCAGGTAAAATTCGAGGCTCACGCCGCCAGCCTCATGGAGCTACCCCTCCACGGAGAAGAGGCGATGGACGGCCCCACCCCCTCCCTCCCCACCCTACTTGCTGACGCGCGCTGGGAAGACCCCCCTGTCCCCAGCCGGCTGCCGCCTTAACCCACGAACACTGACGCGCAGCAAAAAGGAGTTGGGGGGGGAAAAAAAACTTATGGGCAAATGTGTGGTGACACACAGGCAAATTATAGAGGCCAGCGCCTAACATGGGCACAGTCCCGAACTATCCCGAACTATCCCGAACTATATGAAATACATCCGAACGGTTCAGAACGGTTCAGGTGTCACTTCGTTTTCCTCATCCTTGCCCCCAGGATGGATCCCAGAGGACCACTGACCGCTCACGTGACAAGATTGCCTGCCTTAGACGGGTTTGGGTGTGACATATACTTTTCAGAAGATTGTGAAATTTAGCCTAAGTTTCTTCCAGCCCCGTTCTTTGGGAAAACATTCTGCCACGACTTGTGTCACAGCCTAAGTTACTTTCAGACATGCTTTTCTTCACCGAAGTTTTACTTGAAGTACCTTGACTTATGGCAATTTACAACTCACAACTTGCAACTGACATCACTTGTCTTACAACTTTTCTTCCTCTTATAATTTGTAATCAACTAATTAACTTAAAACCTCATAGCTTAAAACCTTTACTTGTTTACAAATCATGCATCTTCAACTTGTTATGTTGTAAAAATTGCCCACTTTTAAGCTTAGAATCTAAGGCAAAAACCTGATACGCCTGAACCGTTCTGAACCGTTCGGATGTATCGGAGGCCTGAGTTCGGATTAGTTCGGGATAGTTCGGAGACGCCTGAACCGTTCTGAACCGTTCGGATGTATCAGAAACTGATACGCCTGAACCGTTCTGAACCGTTCGGATGTACCAGAAATTTACAATGTTTTTTAAAATATTTTTCTATATTTTTTGAACTTAACTTGAACTTACTTTTTAAACATGTAATTTTATCATCATTGACATGGATAACTGGATAACTTCTTGATAACTTAATAACCTTTCAACTGGTGGGCTGACAAAAACACATACTTTAACCTACCTTATCACTTATCAGAATACTGAATCAAAACTTCATAATCATAATGAATCAAAAATGCCAAATTTACAGCATAAAAAAATACGTCGGGAAAAAACGCCAAATTTACAACAACAAAATTTACGTGAGGAAAAAAACCACCAAATTTACAACATCAAAATTTAAATCAGAAAAACATATGCCAAATTTACAACATCAATATTTACATGAGAAAAAAACGCCAAATTTGCAACACCAAAATTTACGTGAGCAAAAAAAACGCCAAATTTACAACATCAAAATTTACGTGAGAAAAAAAACGCCAAATTTACAACATCAAAATTTACGCGAGAAAAAATTACTCTACTTCGTGTGATCCCCACCATGACATGTCAGGACGTATATTTGGACATATATTTAGTATATTCTGACATCCTATCTGACATATATTCTGGCATATATTCTGGCATTCTATCTGGCATATATCCTGACATTCCACCTGGCATTCTATCTGGCAGTCTATCTGGCAGTCTATCTGGCATTCTATCTGACATATTTTCTGACATTTTATCTGACATATATTCTGGCATTCTACCTGTCATTTATTCTGACATATATTCTGGCATTTTATCTGACATATATTCTGGCATATATTCTGGCATTCTATCTGGCATTATATCTGACATATATTTTGGCATTCTATCTGACATATATTCTGGCATATATGTTGGCATTCTATCTGGCATTATATCTGACATATATTCTGGAATTCTATCTGACATATATTCTGGCATATATTCTGGCATTCTATCTGGCATTATATCTGACATATATTTTGGCATTCTATCTGGCATATATTCTGGCATATATGTTGGCATTCTATCTGGCATTATATCTGACATTCTATCTGACATTCTATCTGGCAGTCTATCTGGCATTCTTTCTGGCATTCTTTCTGGCATTCTATCTGGCATTCTATCTGGCATCCTATCTGACATTCTATCTGGCATTCTATCTGGCATTCTTTCTGGCATTCTTTCTGGCATTCTATCTGGCATTCTATCTATCTGGCATCCTATCTGACATTCTATCTGGCATTCTATCTGGCAGTCTATCTGACATTCCTACATGAGGTCCGGCAGGGAACACTTGGCATGGATACTCGCGGTTGAGGTCCGGCAGGGAACACTGGGCGCGGATGGTCGTGGTTGAGGTCCGGCAGGGAACACTGGGTGTGTATGGTCGTGGTTGAGGTCCGGCAGGGAACACTGGGCGTGGATGGTCGTGGTTGAGGTCCGGCAGGGAACACTGGGCGTGTATGGTCGTGGTTGAGGTCCGGCAGGGAACACTGGGCGTGGATGGTCGTGGTTGAGGTCCGACAGCGAACACTGTGGATCGCGAGTCGCAGTTGAGCAGGAGGACGAGGAGGACAACGAGAGGAGGAGGAGGAGAGGAGGACGAGGCAGGAGGAGGCGGAGGAGGAGGAGGAGAAGGAGGAGGAGGAGGAGAAGGAGGAGAAGGAGGAGGAGGAGGAGGCAACTGACATAAAATCTAACAACCCTCACCTGGCAGGTGGGGAAAAACGCCAAATTTAAAACATCAAAATTTACGTGGAAAAAAAACCGAGAAATTCACAACATCACTTACAACATCGAGGACAACATTGGACGTGTGCCAAAACATTGATAGAGGCAGGTGCCCGAACCAAGGACTAAGTGTGGAACATCGGTGGTGCTTTTAATCCGCAAAGGTAGGGAAGTCATTGGGGACCCATTCCAAACCGGAGGTACAGAACTTAAATGTTTGAAACCACCAACTGGCCAGACACTTCAAAGCCACCAAAAAGGCTGCACAAAAAAAACAACATCTTCGCGTTGAACATTGCCTCTTTCGTCAATCCCTCAAAACTCATCGGGAACCCCCAAAACTGGGTCCGGAAATCTCTGGACATGTGGTTTTCCCTGTTCACAACTGCAATTTTTCGTTTCCCGTCGCCAGGTCAGCCGAGATCAGCCGAGCATCCCCAAGCAGAGATACATCCAACAGCAAAAGCTGCCGGAGATTCGCAGAAACTGAGAATCCAGAATTTCATCAAGCCCGATGATGACCACGATCAGCACCACGGTGAACATTTCTATTCCTGGCTTTCCAGGCGCCGAATCAATCCCAGTAAACCAAGCGTCATTGGCGAAACACCCATTTCGCATCCTCCTCTTTCGGGTCAGAAGTTTTTTGGCATACACGGTGCCAGTTTTGGTATCAAACCCTTTACCGTCTGATAAACTAATATAGCTATTGAACATGGCCATAGAATCATAGAAATAGTGAGTTTTCCCATTAAACATGGTGATTTTCCATAGTTATGTAAACGTTTACCAGAGTGTAAACGTCTGCTCATGGCAATGACCCAAAGATCCAAAATAAGGGGGCTCCGGAGGCCTCCATTGCTGAGACTTGAAGGCCATATGATGATTGTTGACACGACCACTTAGTAAAACTGCTACATATTACATACAACAAAACATGATAGATACGTATCATACCTATGATAGGTTTAACAATGTTTAACATGTTTAACGCGAGAAATGCAAACCATTTGCACTTTTGTGCGTCTACTGGTACTGGAAATCGAACCCGCTGAAACTACTTTTCCCAGCAAAACAAAGGGAATCCACATTTACACATTCTTGGACCTTTCAGGTATTTAGGTAATTACTTCACAAAGTGCCCCCCCTCACATAATAAGAAACATATTCCCATACAAACAAAAATCGGTGCAAGATAAAGCTTGAAAAAACAACAAAAAACATGCGAGACAAAAATAGAAAAAACGACGATAGCACGAGGCCAACCTATCAACACGCCTTTTAAAAAACGATCTTAAAGTCCTTCCGAGAATGGCTGGGAGTTCTCAACTAAGCAACTAGTCGTTGGAAAGTCTATGTAAGCAGCTCCAAATCGCTCCCCCCATTCACCACATGGATAGTTCTATATACTAGTAATGCGTAAGAATCACAAATATATTCCAATATGCTAAACCATCAGCAGCAGCATGATTCATGATCCGAACCCAGTACTTTGAGGACCATCCTTCGATTTTTTCCCTTGAAACCTCCCATGTTCAGGGGAACTCTCCAGCGCCCAGGCTCTCAGTACGAATCTCAAGAGTGGCAGGCGAAAGTCCAGCGGTAGGACCTGCTCCAAGTCCACCAGGGCCTGGGCGGCGCCATCTACATGGGGATGGTTTCTAGTGGAAACTGGGGGTTAATAATGCTTTATGCAACGTTAATACTATAATTGAGGGTTATTCATGGTTAAATCCCATCCAAAATTCATGAAACATATGTTATCATATGTACTGCAATGCGGTAAAAACCCATGTAAACCCACCATTTCCAAGTGTCACGTTTTGATTGCCAGAGGGTAACTGTAAAAATATGTGGTAAGCCCAATTTTCCGAGTATGACCATAGGATGACCATAGGTAGGGTTCCAAGGATCCCCTTCATGGCATTGGGTTTGCCATATCTGCTATGTTCAACTCGCTTTCCAGGTATGAAACTAAGCAACTAACCTCAAGGATGGTTAGAATAGAACTGACCCAGAATATGTGAACCAGTGCATCTTTGCATGACAAGGAAAAAACATATGGAAGAAACACTGTAAGAAAGAATTCACTGCTACTACCATAGTAACACCTCTATTCCTTAATTACAGTACTATCCTCCACAATCCTCCACATCTATTTCCCTGCTCGCCGAGACACGTTGATCAAGAGATGTTCCAACTTCAAGCCCACCCAAAGCAGGCCAGCCAAAGCAGCTGGGACTCCAACGCCATACCTGAGAAGTGAAACGCTTCCAGCGCGTACAGCCTTGAACCATCCCACTGGTTCAAACTCTCTCGCCATATCTCATCTCTGGAGGACAAACACCTACTTAAAATGGCCTCCATTTACCCTCTGGTAAACTAACATAGCTATGGAAAATAACCATCTTTAATAGGTAAATCAACAATTTCTATGGTCATTTTCAATAGCTTTATGTTAAATTACTAGAGAGTATTTCACCAATCATTCCAACAATTCATTGCTTCAAACCGCCGCGACCACCGGGACCGAAGGAAGGCCCGGCCCTATCTGGGCCTGTCGAAGCCCTGGAAGTGCAACAAGTGCTTGGCAGCTAAAGTCATCTCCCCGGTCCAAGTCCTGAAGCCACAAGCCATCCCAGGGGCCCCATGGGGCCCCTGGGGCCCCATCATTGGGTCGTTTCAACTCCCATCCCAAACCTTTCGATCCTTGGAGATCATTGAAATTCTAGGGCTATAAGTTATAACATGTCGTAACCATAAGAACATTGGGACATGTAACATATTTGGACCCACTAACCAGTTATCCTTTTATGTGTATTATCTCAAGTGCCATAGTTACATAGTTCTTTATTCATCATTCCATTTTTATGCATGGGAAATCGAACACATGTGAGATGACAAACCAACAGTGCTGATCTTTCCACGTGAAACCCACATTCTCGTGGGCACCGAACCCCGCAGATTCATGCTTACGGGTGTAATCCCATTTGATCCAAATTTTCAATCATTTTCAGATACTGGTTGGTGGTTGGGAAGGATTATCCCATATATTATGGAAAATAAAAAATGTTTGAAACCACCAGCCAGACATATCTTAACTTTGTCTTTCCTCCCCAAAAGAACCGTCAGAAAATCACGTGATCACACGCTGAATACTTGGATTTGCTTAAAGAAAAACCCAAAAAACCAAGGTATTCCCTGTAGATTAAGTAGTGGATTTCCCATTGGGAAAATAACAACATCGTCAGCAAATCCACAGGATCTGACTTTTCTGTTGGAGCTTGCTGTTGGGATGATCCCTTCGTGAACTGGCACACAGACGCGCCAAGGATCGCAGCCATCAGAACGGTCAAGTCTCGCTGACACTCCTCCGAGAAAGCGAAAAACAAGGGGTAGATTTATGGCAAGCGACTTCCACCACGATTCTTTGAAGGGATTGATGTCAACATGTCAGCCCCAATGAAGGACACCGAGATGATGTATCAAAGATGGGTAGGCGCCTTTTCCAGCGGCTTTTCCCAGGTTTTTTGTTTCCCAGTCGTCCCGTCTCCGTATGGTAGCGCAGGATCAAGGCCACGGCCGGTGGGACAGTGACCTGCATGAGGGTCACCGTGATGGCCATGTTGAGGTGATCGTAGGGCGTGAGCTGCGAAGGGCTGTGGTTGGCCTCCAGGCTGTTGCGAAACGCTGCCATTTTGGGCGGAAAAGTCATAGAACAACGAGAGATTTTCGAGGAATTTCTGGAAAAAACATGTCAAAGCATGTTCTCTTCTGATTTTTCCTTCAACCTATATACTCTGTGTATATATAATTAATTGACTATAATATACTACAATTACATAATATACACAGGATTACACAGGTTTCTTCTTTGTGAACAAGAAACTGGGGAACCTTTTCCTAACGTGATAGTGTAAGGGTGTCTTGGGTGGAGATCTTGACAGAACATCTCGGTCATTTAGACCTGATCGTACCATATACAGTCATATGCAGTAAAACAGATAGAGATACATGGCTTCCCCATTTGAAATGAGGGTTTCCCGCGGTTTCTTGGTTTCAGTGCCAGGGAATACCGGTACAGCACATCGCTCAGGAGAGGGGAATTCATACATTAACTATTTATAGTTATTATAATCATCATATCCGATGATGATTTTGAAGAGCTTTGTCCGCAGAACCTTGGGGGTTTTCGCCAAAAAGACTCCAACAACCAGGGGATTTCCACCAACAACACATTTCAACCAGGTCTGGGACATCTGGCCGATGGTCCTCAGGACTAAGAAACATCCTTGGTGACATCCAGGTGAGGCAGTCTATCTCGAGAACCAACCAACAAAATCCAACAAATATGTGATAACATACGACCAAAACCAGCTCCAGGGGTGGATCTGTGCGGTGGAAGCTGGCTAACCTACTAATCGCTGTGCTCATAACTGTTCCCCGTCTTTTTTTTCAAAGACAAACCGCTCTCAATTCACGACCAGCAAATATGCATAGAATCAAACTTGAAGGTTTACATTACCCATCATTACCCGCAACTCACAGTCGTCCACGTGGTTGGAGAGACCAAGTTGATGAAGGATGGGCTGATCACCGTTGAAATTTGGGCCAGGGGAAGCCAGCCTGGAGAAGATCGCTGGGAAACGGGACCAAGCAAATCCTCAGAGGTGAGATGAACATGTATGGACCATCGTTCAGGACTTCTCTATATTTGGAGTTGAGATACCCTCTGGTAAACATACAAAAAGCTATTGAAAATGGCCATAGAAATAGTGAGTTTTCCCATTAATAGCATGGTGATTTTCCATAGTTATGTTAGTTTACCAGAGGGTAACACTGCTGGACTTGGTATTTTGAGAAATTATTGGTGGGTTCTTCTACGCTTGACGTCGGCATGTGTAGGCCTTGAGTGAATTTGAAGAGACGTCCCTGAAACATGGCACTATGGCGCCCCTGAAACATCCTCAAACCAGTGGGTCTGTCCAAAAACAGGGCATCCCCAAATCCCAATGCGGCTATCAATGCTTATCAATGTTCATCACTTTACCCTTAACTATCCTTAACTAAATCATATGTCTGGCTGTCTGGACATTTTTCCCACAAACCCAGGCCATGCGGGCCCAGAAATTCCTATGGTTTGATGGAAGAAATCTGGAACCTTCGATCCAATTTTTGTTGGGCTTTCGGCCCCTGAATGACCTCCTTTGTTTTTTGTTCAGTCCAAATTTTCAATCATATTAGGATAACATATTCATAAGATTTCACAAATGTATTTTAACAAACACTTCCACGCCCAATGTTCAATCCACATGTTTGTATTTCATATTTCGAAAACATCCCGGTTCATCGACCCAAAGCGTTCTTGCCATTGCCTCCCACGCCCAAGGGTCGTCAAAACCAGGAAGGCAATGCTAACGCTGACTACAAGGAAAGAAAATATCCATCCTGAGCGGGGCCGCTGCTTGGTGGGCGTTTTAGCCCATCGAAAATATCAAGAGTCATCCTTAGTGGCAAGTGGAAAACACATCATATCAGCAAAATCCTTCATTTTTCTGGTAAAATCATGTTAAATCCCATTCAGTGACATTAAACCCCATTAATCCTTCTTAATCCTTAGTTAAACCCTATGAACTCCCATTAATTCCTATGAACTCCCATTAAATCCTATGAAATCCCATTAGATCCTATGAAATAGAACTATATAATTCCCATTAAATCCCATTAGATCCCCACCATTCAATCCCGATTTCACCCATGAACTTGTTGGATCAATATCATTCATCGACCCCAAATTGCCATCAACATATTCATCTCAACCGAATTTTTACGTGCTTTCACAACATTTAAGTTATGTTGAAATGAGGATCCTTGCCAGATTTGCATGTTTTTAGCCAGTTTTAGCTTGGATCGTTGAGGATCTCTCAGGTTTAAAAGACAACCAGATGTGCTCCCATTGGGCTATGGCTCAAAATTCTGTCCAATTAAGATGGTCGACCATTTTTCAGACCTAGACTATCCTAGACATTCACATCATCTAACATCTGTGGATATCTGTGTCCCATGGTTTTCTGATTTTTCTGGTTGGTGGTTGAGCCACCCCTCTGAAAAAAACATTAGTCAGTTGGGATGATTATTCCCAATATATGGAAACAAAATGTTCCAAACCACCAACCAGTGTTTGTTGGTTTATAAACCGCTATAATCCCCATTAACTATAGTTATATCTACCATAAACCATCATTAACTTCACCCATGGTTTTTCTATGTCGCCCCCCTTCGTCGCAAGTGGCGCCAGTGGTTCTGTAAGGAGATCCCCCGACGGAAGGTGGCCATGCGCCGCGGCGCCTTCACCTCCAAACTCAACCTCGGAGGCGTCACGGGGACGCCAAAAGGAAGACATGGCAAACATGGGGTGAAAACATGGGGAAAACGGGAAAACCCATGGAAAACCCATGGGGAACATTGGGGTATATGTCACTTGATTCGGCGATTTTGTTTCTTTTGCCGTAGAAACTTTAGGATAAAGTCGAGAAATCATCTGTAACTTGAAGACTTGGAGGGATGTTTCGAGAGCTTTCGGTACAACCAGTGGGAATGAATGGGATTCATGCCCGTTTGGGAGAAATCGGCGGGATGATAAAAGCTACAGTTTACCAACATTTTCCTATCGATTGCTGATTGAATGAATTGGATCAGGATCCTTGAAGAAAAACGCGAAAAATGCCAACGATTCCTGCAAATAGGCATCACAAGCCACTTGTCACACCATGCCGCAATGCCACAGCATGTAATGTCATAAACAAATGTAAACAATTGTAAACATTATGTGACGCGAGGGTTGTGACATGACAGAGGCCGACGGGAAGCACTGGAACGAGGAGAGAGACCAACCAGACGAGGAAACGATGAACCAAGAGAATGACCATTAAAACCAAAAATCCTGTACCAAAAGAATGCTAATGAAAATAGAAAAGAAAAACAAAATAAAGACGAATAACCCATCCAAAATATCTTGAATGTCATGATCTCCAATATATAAAATGGTGGTGAACCTGGAAAAAGACAATTATAATTCTACAAAATCCATAAAGGCCCCGTATTTTCAAAGCATCTGGGATGGACGGTTATCTCTTTGGCACAGGGTTGAGGAAAAAGAGATACAAATAATAAAGACATGAAAGGGAAAGACAAATATTCTATCGATGAAGAACCTTGCACCCCGTTGATGCTGCCTTGCCGCGTGTTGCAGCGTTACTTAATTGATATCATTGCTGCACATTGTGAGTGGATCATTTAACTCGCCCCAAAAGATAGTAACAGAGGGCCTTCAGAGGGCTCCGCCATCCCAAGGGGCTCATTGGTGCGATTGGTGCGCACGGTGCGGTGTGAACCCTGAGGAGTCACCTCATCAGTCATCGCTCACCTGGCCGTGGTGCCGTGGAATGTAACTAGGGGAGCCACAACCCGAAATGGTGATAATCTGATACTTCCATGGTGTACACACCAATTAAGCATTCGTTTGGGGTTTATTCGTCCAAGGGTTGACATTAGTTATTCTCATGGTGTTGTTTTATTTTTTTGGGGGGGAATGGGAAGAAATATGATGATAGTTACATACTGTCCGGTAATTTGACATAGCTTTTGAACATAGCCATTGATTAACCTTGTAAAAACATGTGACTTTCATGGATTTTCCATAGCAAACTGTTAAATTACCGGAGGGTAACCAATGATAGACTGGTGCTAGAAACCGGTGCTTCGGAGCAAAGCGGGGGCTCTTTCCAAAAACATGATGCCCTCAACAGCATTGAGCCAATCATTTCAACCCAGCCATTGAGCCAATCTTCCCTGGGATCAAAGCGGATAAACATCTGAAACGACACCCAAACAGCAAAGGGAAAAAATCGCATCAGTCCCATTCAGTCCCTTCCAAGTCCACGTAATACTAGTGGTTTATTACTGCAACCAAGGTTCTGATCAAAAACAGCGCAGCATCCCCCCCGGAAGACTGTCATGCAGTTGAAACACGGCTCTATTCATCTGAACAAAAAACAACGCTGCGAGGAAAGCACGGTCCACCGCGATCCCCTGACCAACGGACAACTAGTGGACATGGAAATCAGTGGGGTTTGATTTCCACTCTTCACAGAGATCCAAATCTTCGACGAAAGGAATGTGCCCCAAAGAGTAGAAACGTCATTTACCGTTATAGGATTTTCTTTCTTACCTTTCGATCTTTTCGGGGGTTGCTAAAAAAAGAATCCCCAAATGTTGCATTGAAATTCACCTCCAACCGGACCTTCAAATCAAGCATTTCCTTGCCGACCTACAGGTACTAATTCCCAGAAATCTAACACAGCTATGGACATTGGCCATTTTAAGATTATTTACCTACCAAAAAAATGTGATTTTCCATAACAAACTGTTAAATTGCCAGAGGGTACAGGCACCAGCAGTTTGACACTCTGCTGACCTTCTGGATGTTTCATGTTTGCCAGGCTGGTACTTTTACGGTCAGGTCACTAGAGCCATTATATATTTTGGAAAGCCTTTGGGAAAAAATTGGATCGATGATTCCGTACGGTCAACGCCAAATAACCCCAAAATTCGATTGACAAATTGACACCAATTTGATCCCACAATATCCCAAAATCGGATTGATGAACGATCCCAACACTCTGGGGACTCTGGGGATGTTCCACCCCATCCCAGAGCATGGTGCCTCAGGACCAATTGCTTCAGCTTCCCCGGCCTTTTCTGCTCTGAAGGGGTCACGTTTTAGTAGCAAAATGACATAACATGACATTACCATTATTTTGGGGGGTATTCCAGATCCTTAATCAACCAGAGTTTATTGACCGAGGTTTATTAATCGAGGGTTGACAATACAACAGTTTCCCTTTCTGAGTTTGCGTGAAACCTTGCCACCAGAACCTGAAAAAAACACATGCTGGAAAACCTGCCACCCCAAAAGATCATGTGGGAAAGCCAGTGCCATAATTTAAACCTACCATGACTGGGGATGGTGTGTTTATACCACCTCCAAATGAACTGGTGATGACTTGGGCAAGGTCAACTTGGGCATGGTCAACATGGCATTGGATTTACCCCTCGCCGTGACGCCGTGCCTCATTGGGCACATGGAAAGCTTTGCCAAGCGATGGCCAATGGGAGGCTCGAAGCCGCCCTCGCAGGAGCCTCCCATTACGCTAGGCTGGCAAGGGTGGAAACAATTGCGAAACAACACTTGGTGACACAAATGGGTGGTCCTATGAATGACATTTACCACAACTATTGGAGGTAAGAAAAAACTGGTTGCAGGGTATCTAAGCTTACCTTGGACCTGTGGAGCAGCATGGAGCAGTTGCAAGTCTCCTCTATGGGAAGGGCTTTGGATTGGCACCTGATTTTTTTTCAGGGCAAGATGTGCTACTGCCACTTTCGCCATCAAACATGTTTGTTTTTTTTGGCAGATTTCGCATAATTACAGTACTTTGAATGCCACAAATTGTGGAAATTGCAGTTGGGTAGGAAATTGTTTGGAGATTTTTTTTTTTTTAGTTTGGGGATTTTTTTTTGGATTTCCGGTTCTCACCATTTTCCATGCTATTTGCAGCATTTTGGAGCTGGAAACTGCCATTTCCACGGTATGTGCAACGGTTTTGAGTTCGAACCTCTCATTTTCCATTGTATTTTCCACGGTATTTGCAACAGTTTGCAGCATGTTCTGTCCATTTTCCATGCTCTTTGCAGCATTTTTGAGCTGGAATCTGCATTTCCACCGTATGTGCAACATTTTACAGCTACATTCCTCACAGTACTTGCAGGATTTTGGAGCTGAAGGCTGACATTCCAACAGTTGTTTGTTGTTACTGTTACTGGTGTTGGTGTTGGTGTTGTTGTTGTTGGTGTTGTTGTTGTTGTTACCGTTAGTGTTGTTAGTGTTGTTAGTGTTGCTAGTGTTAGTGTTGTTAGTGTTGTTAGTGTTGTTATATATATACATATACAATATATATATATACATATATATATATATACATATATATATATATACATATATATATATACAATATATATATATACAATATATATATATATATACAATATATATATATATATATATATATATACAATATATATATATACAATATATATATATACAATGTATATATATATATTCTAACCAAAGTAGTGTATTGAAATGTGTGCAAGCTTGAATTTAAATAAAAAAAAACGGGAGGGGGGGATTGGGGGGGATTTGGGGGGAGGGCGCAGCGCCTCCCCCCCAAAGCAGATTGGAAACACCTATTTTCACATGCAAGGTGCTAGGTTGAATGTGATACTCAAGGTGTATATACTACACGACATGCACCTTGGAAACATGTGGAATGTAGGTTAAGGCACAACGATGCACAATAGTTTCATTTGATGTTATCATCGAGTTGGTTTAAGATCTATTTATATAAGGTTTGGTTCAGGGTTGGCTTGGGGTTTGAATATCATCCGCATGATAATGCAAACCTTTTAGGTAGATATATATATATATACAGATATATATATATATAGATATAGATATATAGATAAATAGATATATATATTTAAAGATATATAGATATAAAGATATATGTATATATACATATAGAAATATAGATAGATATATACAGATATATAGATATATGGTGGTATATAAATATATATATATAGAGAGAGATATAGATATATAGATATATATATATATAGATATATAGATATATATATAGAGATATAGATATATAGATATATAGATATATAGATAATTATATAGATATATGATAGATATATAGATATATAGATATATAGATACAGCCAGATAGATAGATAGATAGATAATTAGATAGATAGATAGATAGATAGGTAGATAGATATATAGATAGATAGATATATATGTATATAGATATCTAGATATAGATATATATAGAGATATATAGAAATATATAGATATATATAGAGATATATAGAGATATATATAGATATATAGATATATATATATATAGATATATATATAGAGATATATATATAGATATATAGATATATAGATAATTATATAGATATATGATATATATATATAGGTATATAGATATATAGATACAGCCATAGATGTAGATATAGATACAGATATAGATAGACATAGATAGATATAGATACGTAGATATAGATAGATATAGATAGATATAGATGGATATAGATGGATAGAAGATGTTGCTCCACACCTCATGGAAAAGCAAAAAAGCAAAGAAAAGCAAAAAAGCAAAAAAGCAAAGAAAAGCAAGAAAAGCAAAAAAGCAAAGAAAAGCAGAAAAGCGAGAAAAGCAAAAAAGCAAAGAAAAGCAAGGAAAGCAAAAAAGCAAAAAAAAAAAAAGAAAAGAAAAAGCAGAAAAGCAAAAAAGAAAAGCAAAGAAAAGCAAAAAAAACAAAAAAAGGAATAGAAGCAAAGAAGCAGAGAAGCACTGCAGGAGGCAATAGAGTAAGCAGGAAGAAATCCAAAAAAAAATCCCTAAACTAAAAAAAAAAAAATCCCTAAATAAATGGCCCTCCATTGCAGTTCATCCCCATTCCAATCTGCCGAACATAATTAATTAGGGATAATTGCCACCATTATTTACCACCATTTGGACAAAAAACGGCTCATGAAAATGAGCAACAACATTAAAACATCATGAACTACATTACTTCAACATTAAATTATATAGGGATCATACGTCATGACAATCTATGACAGCAATTCAATATCCTTAATGAACAAAAAAATCCCAAGTCGGGTGAAACCATCCGGTTTCCACCACCTTTGAGCCATCGGATGCCATCGCCTCATGAGCGCCAGGAAAGCGTTCTGGGACTTCCAGGAGGGACACACTTCATCCAGCTTTCCCTTCTGAATGTCCTGGACACCATCGACACAACGATCTTGAAACTGGGTTTGCGCGAATGTCCAAGAGAAATGGTGATGTTGGAAAATTTCGAGACGTAAATATACAGCACAGTATACATAAAATAACATGATATAATATGATATATCATTGTAAATACCGATTCTTATTAACTTCCAAGCTGGCTTGCGCACTTTGGAGAGGCGCCCCTTCTCTCTGTCTCTCAGGTGCTTTGTCTTGCATGTGGCAGATTATACTCCCGCAGATTCTCTGTTCTACTCCATCTGTCCCGATTGTCCTGGCGGGGTACAATGCATCTCAAAACAATTCAGAATATGGGTTTGTCTAACAATAAGGTAGCCAAAAAACAGACAACCCCATATGATTTTTCATTTTTCAGAACTTTCAGCTCATTCTGTGCGACCTCCAACATGCATCACCATTCGGCCGCTTTTCAACGTCCAAGTCTCCACGTGGTCATGGTCCATCACTGAAGGTATCCACACATACCTGCGCCCACTCGGAAGCTGATTCAAACTGTTCCTACACATAGGACATAGAACCAATGACTGGGGCGGGCAGTGAAAGTCTAACCGCTCCAACAAAGTGAGGTCGCCCAGGTCGCTGGACCACTGGGCTACCAAACCAACATCTGTTGCTGCGAGCTTTTTCTTTCCTCGGTCACACTTCCCCCTCAACTGCTGACAAAAAGCCACCAAAGTTGCAGCTTGAAAACCGGCCCCTTGTCAAAATTCTTCAAAGTTCCCCATCTGAGGGACCTCTTCGGCAAATGTGGAACTTGATCTCGCTTCCAAAAGAAAGGAACTTTTAAGAACTCTTGGCTCATCTGCGGATGAAACTCCGATCAGCACACTCTTTTTTCACATGAATAAATGTATATACATAAATATATTGTACATATTATACACATACATATACGTATGCATATATATATAATAGTTGGTATCTCATCATAGCACTTTGCCCCCTTCCCCTGGGAGTCCGGACATCCCTTCGTAGGCCTTCTGGGGTATCGCCCTCAGAACCTCCAGTAACTTTGGGCCTCGGAGGTCGTTGGGCTCGTGGGCTCGTTGAGTCAAGATCTAGCGGCGCGATGATGTGGAAAAAAATACATTTTTCTAGTGGGTAAACCATCATTTGGGTAAACCATCAAATTGTTGGGGTGAATTTATAATTTTCTAGTTTGGGTAAACCATCAAATTTACCATTTATAAATGGGCCATGGCTTCCAGTTTGCTATGTTAAATACCCCAGGGGTAATTTGAGGTTAACCAATTTGTTGACTTGTCCGTGGCTGGGTGGCTGGATACTATAATATCATAAAACATATCCTGGTGGGGTGAACCATCAGTAGGGGCATGCCGAGTTTCCATCCACATTTTGAGGCTTATTCCCATGTATAATCATGTATATTAATGTATATAAGCATATAAGGTGTCTAATCACATCTAAACTAAAACTTTAATCCAAATCTTCTAAATTCTTATCTAAATCTAGTCTAATCTCTCTCTCTCTATATATATATGTATATCTATATCTATCATTATATCTCTCTCTCTCTCTCTCTCCCCGTTTCTCTTTTTTATTTTGATAGATGTGATATGATGTAAACTCATCCCCGTGTCATCCGGGTCGTTACGTCCTGGGTTGCAGACCCACATGCTGCATGGGCCAACGCACCACGAAGCCAGAAGAATCGAAGATCTCCCCATAGGGCGGCTCCTAGCGGGATGGGATGACGAGCTGATGACAGCCATTGGGATGATCTTTTTAGGGAACACAGGAAAACCATGGGTTTTTACCACCAACTGGATGATATTTTTGGATATTTTTAGGGAAAACCTACAGGAAACCATGTTTTTTTTCCCCATCAAAGATGGATGTTTCCTGCAAATGTTTCTTGAAACTAATCCAATAATGGTGGCATTCAATGCTTTTGTAGCAACCCCGCAAGTTGAGATGCAAATTAAAGTACAATCCAGCTCTAAAATAATAGTTACTTAAATGTTCCTTTTCTGCATCTTTTTGGTTACAAAATCTGGTTGGGGAGTTCGACCTCAATAAGTTTGGTTCTTGGGGATTGCTGTAACTTCCAGGTATTGCTGTAACCAGGGCAAGGCCATCCCCTACCATCACCCTGAGCGCACGTAGAAGTCATTCAGAAGCACCGGAAGGCAGTCCGCAAAGAGGACCCTGAAATACCTGAAAAGAGCTGGAACTGCAGTCTTGCCATGCTCATCCTCACCATGGCAAGTGTTGATAATTCCTTCCTCCATTCATATTGAACACTCCTGATAAACCAGTTTTTTTTGGGGGTGGGGGGGGATGAAAACACATCTTTGGGACACAAAATTGGGGTGTACCTAATGAGTGAACGGGGGATGGCCATCCTATGATGGCATGGTCAGGAATGGATGTTGAAAGGAATTGCTGGATGGTTAAATACAAATAACTTTCACAAACCATCTGTAATGGCATTACTCAATGGTTATAATTGGTTTACATCCCGGTAGTATTCATGGGCTTAAGTATGAATAACCATTATGAACCATTTATTGACCATTACAGTAGTCGAGCACTCTCTCTCTCTCTCTCTTTCCATCGCCATCTCGGGAGATCAGCAGTCAAACTGAAGGGGAGCTACCCGACTACTAATCATAACCATTCTTATCAACTATTAACCATTACCCTCTGGTGAACTAACATAGCAATTGAAAATTGCCCTTTATAGTGGATTTTCCCATTAAAAATGGTGATTTTCCATTGCTATGTTAGTTCACCAGAGGGTATTAACCATTACTTACTTGCTTGGTCATCTTTTGAACATCTCTTCACCAATTTCACCGTTTGGAATGGCATTACTTAACCATCCCTCAAAATGACATTGTTGGTTTATATTCCCATGTCATTCATGGGATGAACTATGAATATACAGTATATATTAACCATTACTTAACCGTCCATTCACCATTTCTCAGTTCTCAGTTCTCCATACTTATCCCAGAATTCTTCAGTTCAAGTATCCCAGAATGATCCAATTCGTAAGTATCCCATGTTTTTTTCCAGCTTTCCATAGCCAAATCCATGGCTTTCCCATATTTTCCCATCGCCTGGAGGACCACGCGGACTTCCCCCGTGGCACGAAGCAAAACTTCGAGGACAACGCGCCGCGCGCCGCCTGAAGCGAAACCCGGGCGAAGCCCAAGCTGCCACCGTGGGAAATGGTCAGAAAAACCCACTTTAGTTATTTAGTTGATACTGATCTTAAAAAATCTGGGTTTTATTCTACTATAATTACGCTTATATATATTCTACTGTTATATTTCATGTCATGATTAATGTTGCAATTCATGTTATGGGATCATTGGAGTTGTGATCTTTTAAGAGCCGTCGCCTGTGCTGATATTTTTTTACAAAAGATAACTGATATATAATATATATATATAGTATATATCTATATATATAATATATATATATGTATAGATATAATAAATGTATATATATAATATATATAGTGACTTGTTTTTTGCATGATAGTTTACGTATAGGGAACTGACGATCACCAGGACAGTGTCCGATGGTCCGTGTTTTTTTTTCGAGACTTTAATTTCAGCAGTCATCATGAATGTTGACCAGCAAGAATCATGGTTTTTGCATGTTTTTGTCAACAACGAATAGGAGTTTACCAGCAAATACAGCAAATATATGCACATGTATGGATATTTTCTCGTGAAAAAGATGTGGATTTGACCAAAACAAGTGACAGTTTACCAGCAAACTATAGATTCTAACGACAACAAATTGAAGTTTACCCGGATATTTTTGAACTTTAGAATGCTTTAGATACCAATAAGATTCAACAAGAACGTGTTTTTCCCCGCGGGCAAACGTAGGGGTTTCTTAGGATTTCAACACGAATTCCAAAGGGATTCAAGGCTCACATACGCAAATTTCTGGGATATTTGGGGATGGTTATATAGTTATATAATGTTATATAACCCAAAATGGATGAACCTCTGGATTTAGCCTCCTCACTTCCAAAAACCTTGGTGAATCTAATTAAAATTGTATAAAATGGTCTGCACTCAGAATTTCGGCCGTCAAAGTTGGTACAAAAAATTGGATGCCCCTAAGCGGTTTCAACTGAGTGAACCACTGCAAGACGTTCTCTGAGATCTGAATCTGAAAAACGGAGACCCCCCCACCCCCTTCTGGTTTCTCATCATTTTCCCCTTAACAAATGATTTCCACTACGTATCACAGTGGATGTACCAATTTTTGATGCTTATAGGGGGAAGTTGTCCTTAAAATGCAATATGCTCATCTTGGATACGTTTATTTATGTTTATTTCGTGACGTTTCTTCCCCAATTTCGCCGCTTTGCTCAACCATTGGGCCCTTCTTGGGTGATCATGATGGCACGTCGTTCGGAACCACCACATCCACCACTATAACAGAATAAACTGCGAACAATAATGAACAAATATGATATAAATAACAAGTATGATCATGTATGATCAACTAGTACAGTATGTGATAACTATGACTAACTATCCAGACTATTATTATTATTACTATTATGTATCATTATTATTATTATACATACATATATATATATCTACTAAATAATTACTTACCCATGTCTACTTATAAGTTACTTGTTAGTCACTACTCCGCCGACGCAGGATCGGTGCCTCCATGTAGGGCACATCTTGGCGGATGTGTAAATCTGGCCTTAAGACGTCGGATATCCAAACCATGGGTGGTACGTTTGTAGGACGTAGCCTTGGCTCAAACCTTGGTTTTACCCTCTGGAAAACTAACATAACTATGGAAAATCACCATTTTTAATGGGTAAATCAACTATAAATGACAATTTTCAATAGCTATGTTAGTTTACCAGAGGGTAACACTTTTTTTGTTTTTTTTTGACTATTTTTCTTGACATCAATATGAACATGATTTGCAAAGGTGTGTTTCGTTTGGGTATGTTTAGATCCCTTGCGGAAACCAAGTCTTTTGGAATCCACATCACGTCATAGATTTCCAAAGGCGCCAGAATCTGATCTTCGTCAACCACCATGCGAGTTGCATCACATCTGCTGATATCTTGGTCATCTTTTTTTGGCGTTCAACTGAGAGAAAACATGGGAAAACATAAGTCAAGTGGGTATCATCATCATATACAGTAAGAATTTAAGGGATGGAATTTCCGGAACATGATGGAATCAGAAGCAGTATGATCACCGTGTGCATCTCATCAAATCTTGTATCTGAGGCACTCATTGGCCATTCGTAGCAATTCATCCCTTGGAGAACCTCAGCTTGCGGCTGGTGGGAGATGTCGGCCATTTCAGGATTTTCAGATACCAATTTATTGGAGCTACCTAAATGTATAAGGCCTATATATATAAATACTGTAGTTGCATTCATTTTAGGTACCTGACATTCCCTTGCTAATGTTATTACTTGGTTTTCAGCTGTTGCATTTTGGGGATGAAGAGTCATGGGCTCCCCTGCTGGCTGCCAAACCGCCCTGTGCAGAGTGCAAGGGTCGGTTCCACCCGACCTTAGCGGTAGAAAAATGGCTGAAGAATCCACGAACTAGCCATGGCCATGGCTGTAAAAATTAGCTGGAAAATCATGGAACTAAATGAAGATTTTCCGGCACGCCATGTGTGATGATACCAAAGGGTTTCTAAAGAAAACTTGCGTTATCCCACAACAAGTGGGCTATTCACAGCTATTATCGAATTACTAGCTGGGAATTTGGAATCTCTAAATCATCCACAGGAAAATCGATTTCCAAGGAATTCATAGGCATGTCATACCTTACCTCGAAGACAAACATCTGACATAAATCATAATATCAAAATATATCAAACATAAATTATCAATTCATCGCCATGAAATGTCGTCTTTTTGGGCTTCTTCCCCCCAAAAAAAACCAACCATGCTTTCCGGTCCGCGATCGAAAACCCCCGGTGACTTCCACGGAACTCTGCTGCCGCGACGCGAAGTCTGCCAGGTAGGGCCGCGGCGCATCGCGCACGGACAGCGACCAACGCACCTCGGACAGCGAGATCCGTCCGGGGATCAAAATGTCCTGCGCCAAGAGGGACTGGGGCAGTGCGGTTGTGAGGATCGGCCTTTTTGACCCAGTTAGAAGTTGGATATCAGCAATGGAACATCATTTTAACAGGAATTCAACATAGCCTCATAGCAATGGACAATCATTTTTAAGAGGTAAATCATCGAACTGAATGGGCAGTTTTAGAAACAGCTATACTGATACTATGGGAAGGTCTATAGTCCAGGAATCGGGAACTTCTTACCCAGGGGGTGCTACTAACCAGTTGGGCATATCTCTTAATCTACTGGAGAATCATGAAAGAACGATGATCGTGAACCCCTTGACTAAGCGGGAGGCATACCCAAGTAAAGCTAGGAGTGATGGATATTTAACCAGCAAAAATGGAGATGTAAGAAAAAAAATGATGAATTGAAGTGAGGATCCATGGAAGTAACTAGTGATTCAAGGGGGTGTGTCACTGTAGGTGTTCGCATCTCCCAATTGAGGTGTCCTCAGTTGTCCCTCGCGGTCATTTCCGACGGTAGCTTTGAGATAGGTAAGCTATGTACAGGATCCAGCGAAGGTTGACACGGGCAATCCCCGTGCCCCTTTGCTGTGGGTTCCGCTGGCTTCAAGGTCTGAAAAGAATGAGTCAACCATGTCCTGGTTTCCATGTCGTTTGCAGGGGTTAAACCCATCGTTGTTGTGTGTAAAGTCCCTAATTTCTCGAGGTATTAACCCCAAAAACTGCTGGAAGGCTATTTTATGCCATTTTCCTATAGAAAGCTGATAGTTTTAAAGGCATCATACGCAAGGGATTGCAAGGGTTGAACCCCCACCAGAATATTCGAAGCAGAATAAGCCAAGGGTTCTTGATCTGGCTGGCGGTTTCAGCCCCCGAAAAAATATTGGTCAGTTAAACATGGGGTTGTAAATATAACGTGTTGGAAACCACCAGCCAATGCATCATTGGTTATATAATTACTCATGATATCTCATGATATTCTCATTTAGATGCTAATTCCCCATCGGTACCCTCCGACATTCAATTCTGGCTCTCTTCAGAAGCATCCGCTCTGATCGCAGCGGCTTGCAATGTCGTGGCCCACATCGGCTGCGAGGCGGCTGTAGCGGGCACGCAACAGGGAGACCCCAAAGAAACCTGCGAAAACTGGCGGCGCAGAGAAAATCTGGCGGTTCGCATGGGTTGAACTAGCAAAACATGTGATTTTACGAGCCGCACGGTGGTTTTAGAATTTACGGAATCAATGGATTGGTTTCAGGGAAAAATGACGGTTGACTCCAACTGTAGTCCCGTGGTCTTACCATGACAAATAAGGGTGTCCTGTGTCCCAACTTCCAGGCTACCATAGGCTACTTGTACAGGCACATAGGCAGAATATGGCAGAATGGATGCTGGCACTTTCAACCATTGATTTTTTTTTAAAACATTTTTTGAGTGTTTTGGGATTAAGGCTGTCCACTGCGATACAGACTGATGATACTGATGTTTTAACGAACAATCATTGTTATGGACCCACCAAATGCCAATGATGTTTCATTGGATAAGTATATAATTAACATTATATATAACTATAACAACAATAGAAACCATATGTCCGCTACTTTGGTCGGATTTCAATTTTACTTGTTCCATCAGTGCTATGACTTGTCGACAGCTGCAGGATCCCCATCTTCCACGATTCCCTCCGAGTGGCAAAGGAAGACACTCGTCACCATGAGCCAATTCATCCAAAGGCTCGAGCCTGCGATTTTCACAGGCACCAGCAGCACCAGGATTTGGATGGAGGACCTGAAGCTGACGAAATCTGACAGGCTGCCCCCCAAAAAACCTGGCGGGAAATACCGATTGGAGACTCAGAGTTCTTCTAACATCTAACCATCCCATCACATACCCTTTCTGAGCACCAAAAACATCCAACTTGCCATATCATTACATAGGACAGATCGGATTTTTAATAATTATCTGATTTGATATTCTTTTTGAATCTTTTTGTTATTTTCTGTGTTGATGACGAACTTTGAGCCATGCGCGTTGGTTCCGCTCGTTGATCCAAGGCTCATGGTGAGCATCGTGGTGGTCGCCGCCACATCGTCGCGGACGAAGCCATAGACGGTCTCGAGGATCAGCTCGAAGAAGAGGGGCAGCATGCAGTTGATGCCGAAGCCTCCCAGAATCCCTGAGCTTCCTGCAGAATTTGTGGTGGGAAAGGAATGAAAAGGACGCACATCAAGGTCTTCTGCAATGGGTTTCACAGAATTTGAAGGGTGAGGAATTTTTGAGGGTGAGCAGATGTCAAAAATTCAACTTCCTCTAATAATTTCTTTCCGTACTCCAAGGGCCGGAGGTTGAAGCCGAAGAAACGCCCAGTCCTAACGCCAGGGTTCCGAAGCTGGATGGAACGTCGGCGGTCAGAAGAGCAGCAAAGAAGAGGAAACCCGCGAAGGACACACCTGGTCTTGGGGATGCCGGAAAAGAATGGAAAAGAGCGCTAGTAACTCGCTAGTAACTACCATTTGGTTATTTAACATATGGAAAATCACCATTTTTAATAGGTAAACCATCTATAAATGGACCATTTTCCATGGCTATGTTAAATAACCAGAGGGTAACAAGAGTCAAAACTGGTTGAAAAGGCTACTGAACTGCTGACAATACGCCCTGAAACGTACAGCCGTATAGCTAGAATATCCCCAATTCCATCCAACACATACCAAATACATTGCACACCAAATTTCCGAAAAAGAATATATATACATAAAAACACCATGAAATCCTGCCCAACTTTTAGTCCGATCCAAAGCCGCATGTCTGGATTCACCTCCCATTTTAACAACCCTCAGCGTTGCGCCTGCGCACAACAAAATGATGCTCTTCAACGCGCCGAGCAAACGCTTAGTCATCAGCCCAACAGCAATACCTGGGACAATGATGGACGGTGGAGGTGTGTCACTTGAGTGATGACCCCTTCCCTCCCAAATGATGATGGAAACACATTTCTAGCTACACATTTCTAGCTTTTTCTTGGTTCTTGGCAATCTAAATCTCAAAATGGTTTATGAAGTATCAGGAGGTATCGTGAAATGCAGGATATATGATAGCTGATACGACATTCATTCTCCCTTGAATGGGCCACACACACAATGAATAGAACCACGGTCGAGTCTTGGGGTGGGGTACCTAAATTGGTAAGCGACCTAAAATACCCGCCAAAAGGAATAATTAATCAAAAAGGGTAGTTTACTTATCCCCCTTCCAATCCAATATCATGCCACCCGTATGTGCAGCTGATGCGAAGCAATAATGGGAATGTGGTCCCCTTCATTCATAGGCTCCCCCGAACTGCCGTGACCCAAGGTTAAAACCATTCAAAACCCATTATATACCCATCCTTTCAGACAAAACTGGGGTACCAATGCACCCACCATTTTAGACTTTGCTAGCATTGAACTTCATTAAACTATATTAAACTAGCCATTTTTTTATGTAGACTTTTATGTAGACTTTTCGGCATATCAAACCAATTGTATAAACTATACTGTAGTCACTGTAGTCTATCAAGTGCTTGGGAAACTCCAGCAATGTAGCAACGTAGCAACGTAGCTCCCCAGGGAATATGGCAATATGGTTACCCATGGCTCCGAACCGTCAGAAGGTGCCCCATAAGTTGCTGGAGAAAGCAACTAAAATCATGAACTTTCATGAACTTTCATGAACTTTCATGAACTTTGGATATATCTATCATATATCTATCATAAACCCCACCCTACTGTAGTTGTTGGAGTTATAATTCGACTTAGCTCACCATGGGGACCTTGTTAGAAACACACCCACAGCTATCTTGCAAGGCGTCCCAAGTTGCTACCCGCAGCCCCTGACAGCGTCATCCAACATCCCAGGAGGGACACAGCCTTCGGTGACATCCTGGGTTGCCCATGGCACGACTCTCTGAACGGACTACGCCTTGCTAATCAAACATGGCAATGGTGAGTTTTCAGCATCAAAAACGGTGGTGTATAGTGGGGATATACTGGGATATCACGGGTATACATGATCATACATGGCTAGCTGAGAAACCCCCATCGAAAACGGGCGCTGAAATGGGAACATCATCTATAAATGGCTTATATATATATATATATTATATACATATATATATCTATCTTACATATTTTCCATTGCCATGTTTGATTACCAGAGGACTTTTTTTCTTTGGGGAGGAATCGGACCTGCCAAATTTCACAAGGACTCAACCATTGTCCATTCCCAACAGGACAACCACTGGAAAATCCCCTGCCAAAACCTATTTCCAGGAGGAAAACTTCGCAGGAAGATCATCTTCATATCTTCCAAATCTTGCAAAACCAAGCTGTCGAAACTTCTTGAAGTTCCCAGGTCCGTTTTCTGTTTGTGGAATGGGAATCTCTGAGGTCCGCTTTCCATCCTATGATATCTGGTCAAGTCTCTGCACTCCGGCCAGGTTCAGATTCAGCACACTGCCCCAGCTCTGGTAGCAACCAATGGGAAGAGAAAAGCAGAGGTTCAACAGCCAGAAACGGCACGCCTCTGCGACGGAGTTGGGGGATCTGTCTCGGATGGTTTTGGAGGATCAACATGGATCAATTGGCCAAACATGGTGTTGCTCATGTGCCCATCTATCGGTTCTAGCCATCTTTACCCATTTATGTGGACAACAAAGGTAACCCCGCAGCCCTAGATTCTTCCTGCTTGCCAACCATCTCGATACCATGGACAGTCAAGGCTTGGGTCTGATGAATGGAAACACCTTTCATTTTATCACTTTTCCACTTTCATCTTTGCCTGATTCAAAATGTAAAGTGCATTAAAGTGCATATGTGTTTCACTTTTAAGATGGCCAGCGACATTCAAACCTTGGGTGAGCCCTGGAAGTACATTGCAGTCAGTAGCTGCTAATGGGACATAACCACTTCGATGAAATACTGTATGGATTATATATGAGTATTTGGGCTTGCGCAGACAAAACTGGCAGTCAAAGGGGTGAACTCATCAACAACCACTGGATTTGAGTAGCTACGGTAATGGCAATGTTCTTTGACAAAGCGGTTGATTCACATTCACTACTCCCTCTGGTAATTTTCCACATAGCCATGGAAAACCACAATCTTCAGCTAAATCATCGAACGTGCCATGCGCCACCTGAGCACTCCTAGGCAGCAGCCGCTCGTAGCCCCCCGCGTCGCCGTGGCGTTTGATGGCGGCGGACTCCGAGGGCGGCACCAAAGGCTTCGCGGGGAAGTAGATGGCGGCAGCAAGGAAGACCGCCAGCGAAAAACTGGCCTGGACCGGCCCAGTTTGGTGGTGAAAACTCGCACAAACATGTGGAGTTCACATGGATAGGGAGATGTACCGAGGGCGTCAAAATCGTGGTGGTGATGATGATGATGATGATGATGATGATCGGTAATCATATTTACTATACAGTATATGGATCAAAACTATTATGCACTATCTTGGGGCGGAAGAACGTCCACTGCTATTCCGGTGATAACAGAAGGGTACCAGGGTTTTGGCCCCATGACCATGTCTGTACAATAGGATGGAGCTCACCATGACGAAAGATATCCTTTCTTGCGGTTGGAATCCCAAGTGAAGCTGGAAAATATTGGAAAATGGATGAACATAGGGGGATTTATCCAACGATAAGGCCACATTGATAAACTGATCAACAAATTGTGCGAGAATGTGGGGAAATTCACCATGGATAAGAATGGATAAGATGGGGATTTCAACAAAAACGGGATTCAACCTGCAAACATACGGGATCTAAGCAGCAAGAATGATCACACGTGGAGATTTCCGCTTTGGCACAAAATTAAACGTAATGTCACGCGACGCACATTCTGAGTGGGAATATGAAGCCAGAAAAACGGATTCTGATTGCCGGGGAGTTAAGCAAACATACTTGACTGCTAAACTTGGAGAGTGTGCCACCCAACCAGCAGAGTATAATAATCAGTGTACATACATAATCATATAGATATATATATATATGTATATATATATATATTTATGTATTTACATATATATGTATACACGTGTACATATATATATATATATGTATGTCCCTCTGTGCCTTTGAGGTGGCAATCTGACATCACCTAAACTAGGGTATCAGAAATCATGACTCACTCCGTGGCCAGTCTTAGCTTGGATATATATATATATATAATTATATATAATTACCTAGCGCATCAAGAACCCACAAATTTGTAGGTCTTTTTCCAAAAACCCGGTTTTTTCTTCAGTTATGAAAAAAAAACGTTTTTTCTCAGAAAATATGTTTTTTTTTCTTTACTAGGGAAAAAACCTACTTTTTCTCACACTTGGTGTCATGACATCTCATGATTCGTTCCCTTAGACGATTCAGACCCCTTTATTGATACCAGCCTTGGATCTATCCCGCTCAGTGCCCTTCATGTTGATTATACTTCCACCCTGCTGGCTTTGGCTGGCAGTTCTCACAAGAAAGGGACCAATGCTCTTGGAACATGTCGGACAACATTAAGTGTGATCACAATCAATCTGAAGTCGTTGGATGATTTTTTCCCAAGAACCACCCCTAGAAGCATAAATTGAAACATGGCTGTATTTTTTGACACTGGGAAAAAATGATTCTGGATTGCATAAGTCCAACAAACAGTCGAACAAAAGTATCGAAAAAAAACGAAATCATGAAAAATCAATCGAAATTTTCGGTTTTTAATCATTTCGGATGACAATTGTAGGGTCTGTACCCAAAAAATGCCAAAAACCCATATTTAAGCCGTACTAAGCCGTACTAAACCCATATTTAACCCGTACTAAACCCATATTCTGATATATATAGTAAAAAAAAACGTTTTTTTGGAACCCATATTTAAACCATATTTAACCCATTTTAACCCATACCAACCCATACTCAAAATATGTTTTTTTTTGCCTCTGCGAATTGACGGCGCGACGTCGAGTTTTAAGGCTCCGCTTGTGGTTTTGCAAGATCGAACCGGTAATTGCCCGATCCAGACAAAAAGAAAACAATGCAGATTACGGAGCTATTGTCATTTTACTGGGTTCATATCTGAAAAGCTGACTTTTGAAATGCCATGCATATCCATTGCGACTTTTTGACTACCTCCAGTCCCGCTGAAGTTCTGAAGGGAAAATTCGCAGCATAGGAGGCAACTGCAGCTGGTGGAGAATGCGCGCATCGTGTCTGATACCGCTTGCTTCGGTTTCGATCGCGCGTTCTGTCTGACAGATTTCACAAGCTGTCAGTATGAAATTGCTACATGTAATGAGGAGAAATTTGATACGGGTTCACCCGATTTGGACAAATTTGCGCAAATCCAACAAAAACCAAAATATGGGTTCTTTACAAAAACCCGGTTTTTCTCGAAAAAACTAGGTTTTTTTCACTGGACCTACAATTTTTTGGGTCTTTCAAGCTCCTGGTATATATATATATATTCATTTATAGCTTAAATGAACTCTCCACGCAAGGTTGACCCAGAAAATGTATTCTAGAATATGCCTATGCTAGATATTTCTAGGTGGTAAATGGTACTGGGAGAAATGGACAGTAGTAATTATAACTCATTATAACTCGAATCCCTGAAAACTGATCTTAGGTGGCCTGCACAAACACAAACACAAACACACATTTACTTAAAGTAGCAGCAAATCATGCTTATGATGGTCTTGATGTGGTTGCTATCTGAGTGTTACATCATATTTTGGGTTGGAAGAACATCCACAACTACAACATCTCTAGGTGTTTCACCATGGTTTTCACGCGGATCCAGGGCTGCCTCGAACCACAGCAACCGTTGCACCGCCGGCAGTCCGCTGCTGGCCGTGGCCGGATGACCCACCAGGGAGGGCCCCAAGATGAAGCCCAGCGCTTGGCCGATGGGTGGACCCGTCACCGCAATGGCCTTGGGGCTGGATCTGGTGTGGTAGGGATTTAAGGTGCTGAAAAAGGGGGGATCAGCTTGTTATATAGGGATATATAGGGGAGATCAGGTTGTGATATATTATACATTATTATGCAATAGTATCTATCAAGGTTGACAATGTAAAACCCATTCAAGATGTCTGTAAAAATTGACCCCCTCAAGGAAGCTGGAGGGACGAACAAAGATAGAAAGCAATCCCTTCCACCATGATAATTTAAAACCTGTGGAGAAAACTGGCGGAACGGATGATTGGAGCTCTTCGTCTTTTTGGGCTCCCCATTTTTCTGGGGACATCCATTTCCCGAAGACTGTGTCAACATGTCTTATATAATTGTTAACCAAATCTTGCCGTCAAACATTTGGGTGTTCCTTGACTTTGTTTCAAGTGCATGATATAGTTTTGCAATCGAAACTATCAATGGATCGGGTTGAAGAAATCAGCGGTTTCTTGCCACGTTTCCCGTAACTCGAATCCAATAACTGGATACCACTTGTATTGCAGTAAATCAGAGGAAAACACATCAACACCCAATTTATCAATCTTTCACGTTGTTGGGGTCTCAAGAAACCAAGGCAATCAAACATATCAAACAATCATTTTCCAGTCGACAACGCATCCATCGTCAGATCCTCATCCTGCGGAGCAGTGGCCGTCGCCAGGGTCCGCTCACGTGCAGGAAACCAAAGATCCGAGATTAAGGGCCCTGCAATGTTGGCCCAGGCTGCTGTGATACCATTGGCCAACCTGACCATTGCTGGCTACAGGTGACATGAACCAAAATGGCCGCCCTAACAATGGTCCAAGTCCCCGATGTATATTAATGTACCGATGTTAAAAAAATGCAGCCTTTTGACCGGAAATTCCATTTCCAACAGATTGCCTATCATTTTTGACTATGAAAAACCTTGGTTTTTCCAAGATATGTGAATCAGTGCAAGCAAACGTAGGACATGTCCAAATGATCGTTCATCATTTCCCAACAAATCTGAGGATATGTTCTCTTCCACATCCAAATGACGTTTCGGCAGGTTTTTCCAGGATTTTCAATATAGGTTTCCCACAAAAACGACGGATTTTACATAGATCTTCCACCTCAAACAGCTCATTTGTTCCAACCCCCCGGCGCGCATGGACAGCTGCACCAGCACCATAAAGCCCTGGCCGCGCAGCGGGAGGCAGCGCACCAGGCCGCAGAAAGCCAGGGAGGCGGTGCTTAGGAGCATGGTCTGACGAGCACCATAGAGGTCGTATCTTGGTCTGACTGGGATCCCAGGGGCCAGTCCGAAAACTGCTTGGAAAATGATGGAGTGAAAGTCAATGGGAAGGATGACATCCCATATATGAAATGGAAAAATAAAAAATGTTCCAAACCACCAACCAGTAATGGGATCATGGGATTCTTCTGGACATTCTGATCCCTTAGTATGCTTTTCACAAAAACGTTGGGGTCGCTGATATAATGAAAGCCTAGGTGAGCCCAAGGCCCCAAAACCGGAGCCTCAAATAAGTAAAGCAAACTTCTCCGGCATGTACCCTCGTAATAATTGTACATGCAGTATGTATATACAGATGTACTTAAATTTGGCCGATTTGGTTCTGTACCAATTGCAATGATTCTCTAAGTGGTGGTTCAACTGGGAATTGATGGGCCCGCTAGCCTTCAGGAAATCCATTCCGGCAGAAAAACCTTGAACTTTTCAGGAATGGAACTCTTGATATGTGGCAAACCAAATGCAAACGATGAAATAGACAATCCATCACCGCCCAATTCTACCTGCAAAAATGGTTGTACATAACCGTCCCCAATTATGGAGGTTTAATGTTGCCATTATTGGGCCACATTATCTAGTAAACCAGCGACCAGGTAACCAGGCTTCAAAATCAAGCAGGCACCCAGGCACCCAGGCACCAAGGACAAAGGGACAATTTATTGATCGGCACCAAGGCCAACATGAAGCTGACGTTTGCAGCGTTCACGGCCCAAGCAAAATCAGAATCTGCCCAACCATAGGTAAGCTTGACCTGGCGGCCCATGCCATGGGGCACAAGGGGGGTATTTTCAACCAAGATTATAAGACTATCCATTACAAAAAACTCAAACATATGTTTTCACCGAACATATATTATATATTATATATTACATATTACATGTTACAAATTATATATTATGTATTATAGATTATATATTATATATTATGTATAATATATAATATATTATATATTAAATATCAAAAATCAAATAGTATATAGTATATTATATATATAATAGATTATATAATAAATTATATACTATATATCATATTGTATATATATATAAATTATTTTGTACTATATATTATATCTAATAATATATAAATTATTATATATTATATATTATAGAATAAAAATAAACTATACTATATATCATATAGTATATATAAATTATTTTGTACTATATATTATATCCAATATATATATTATTATTTATTATATATTATATATTATACATTATATATTATATATTATATATTTATATTATATATTATATATTATATATGATATATGATATATATATATTATATATTTTATATTATATATTATATATAATATATCATATATTAAATATTATATAGTATATAGTATATAATATATGACATATATATATTACAGAATATATAATATACATTATATACTACATATAGTATATATTATATTAAATACTATATATTATATATTATATATTATATATTATATATTAAGTATTATGTTTTATATATCATATATATATATTATAAAATAATTATATATATATAAATATGTACACACGCAAAACACACACAGACGAACAATAGCAACATCACAAAACTCCAGCTGGATCACCACAGTTTTAGTCTTCCTGCCTTGACATGAGATGATCAAACACATACAACACAAAAAACAGTCTACTGTAGGTAAAACAATGCCATAAACCACCCATTTGGGAATGGTAACCATACCACCTATTTATGGTGATGATTGGGGGATTGTTTATTTTTGTTTTACCTTCATTATTGTACGTATATAGAACCACATCCCCGCACCACAAAATCTCAGAGTTTTTGCAGCCCAGGCTCAGTCTCTGAAATGGGGGAGAAGACGTTCCACAGCAAACTTTGCAAAATGTTCCTCGGATGCTGTGCTTTGTTGATCTGTTTTGGCAAGACAACCAAACATAGGAGTTGACTTTCTTACTATGTTTTTGGATGTGTTTGGTGTATTTTCCATTTCCATCTAGTTTGGGATCATTGCAATTGTAGGTGACACGCAAGCGACGGCTTGGCTTTTCTAGGGTAAATTGCGAAAATGGGATCCGACCAAACCTGCAACCAGACCAACAAAAAAACGGGGTCCGCATCAGACTTGGGGGGTTTCACAAACGAACCGTTCTTTATCGTTCTTCGCCCCACGTGTCTGGATTCATACACCCCAGTCTGAAAATGTTGCCAAACCAAGCGGGTAGGTTCATCAACGTGACCACCAACAGGACCCACCACCTGTGATGAAGCGATGAACAGTGTGACCCTAAGTCTGGGTGCCAAATGGGCCCACAACTGTTGATTGTTGAAAACTATTTGACGTTTTGCTTAAAGCATCCACTGGGGGGGTTCGATCATTTCGAGCCATACCCAAGCTTCAACTTCAATAGCTTCAATTCTTCAAGCGGCCAACATGGTCTAAGAACGTCCAAAGAGTTCATTTGCGAGTTACAAAAACTGTGCCAGACTTGCGGGCATAAACCCCAGCATATCGCAGCGATTTTCATGTGAACACCACCGAAACAGCAGGGGATTCCGTGGGGAAACTCGGCGCAGTTCGCAGGCCTTGCAGGCGATGCAACATGTGCAAGGCAAAGGGGCTCCGCGCTGAGCGCGAGCGCCATGGCGCATGTGGAGCCCTGAGACTATGGTTTTATGGATGTTTATGGTAGATATATCTCTATAAATGGGGCAAATGAATCCATCTGAATCATAAGAATCCACTGACCCGAGCACAAATAAATAAATTGAAATAAGATGAAATAAAACCATTTGGGGATAATTCCCCTTACATTATCTTACATTCCGTTTACTAACCATCCGCTGAGGTATACTTTCAAATTGCAATTCATCCACGTGAGGTCATTGCAATTCATCCAAATCTATACTTTCAATGCTTTGACATCTTGAAAAAATGGTTTGAATGGACCTTTTTAAAATCAAATAACTGCAGAAGATTCTGAACCTTCGGCCATCATCAAGTCTTCAACTGGTGCAAGGGAAAACCTCCAGGAAACCATACATTCCCAGCAAATGCATACATACACACATACACACATACATACATACATACATACATGCATTACATACATTACATACATTACATACATTACATACATTACATACATTACATCCATACATCCATACATCCATACATCCATACATCCATCCATCCATCCATCCATCCATACATACATTACATACATACCACACATACCATACATACCATACATACCATACAAACCATACATACATTACATTACATTACATTACATTACGTGAAATAACAGAACTTAACATTACATTACATTATATACATACATTACATTACATGACATGACATTACGTTACATTACATTACAAAACAAAACATAACATTACATTAGCATTACATTACACTACATTACATTACATTACAATACATTACATAAGATTACATTACATACATTACATTACATTACATTCCACTCCTTTACATTCCATTCCATTCCCTTGCGTTACATTACATTATATTACATACATTCCATTCCATTCCTTTCCATCCCATTGCATTGCGTTACATTACATCCTTCCATCCATACATACATACATGCTGCATTACATACATTACATACATTACATACATACCAATCCATACCAATACATACCATACATAACAAACATACCATCCATACATACATACATGCATACATTACTTTACTTTACTTTACATTATATTACATTAATACATACATACATACATTACATTACCTTTCATTACATGAAATTCATTACATGTCATTACATTACATACATTACATACATACATGCATACATACATACCATACAAACGTACATACATACATTACATTACATGACATTACATGACATGACACTACATTACATTACATGCATTACATACATTACATTGCATTACATTACATTGCGCTACATTACGTCTCGTTACATTACATTGCAAGACATTGCAAGACATTACATTACATTACATTACATTACATACATACTGACAAACTGACAAATTTACAAACTTACATACTTACATACTCACATACTTACATACTTACATGACATGACATGACATGACATGAGATGCCATGACATGACATGACATGACATGACATGACATGACATTCATACATACATGCATACATACATCCATACATACATACATACATGCATACACGCATACACACACATACACGCATACATACATACATGCATACAAACAAACAAACAAACCAATACATACATACCGTACATACCATGCATACCATGCATACCATGCGTACCATACATACCATACATACCATACCATGCATACCATACATTACATTACATTACCTTACATTACCTTACCTTACATTACCTTACATTACATTACATTTCATTACATTACATGACATTACATTGCATTACATGAAATTACATAACATTACATTACATTACATGACATTAACATTACATTACAGTACATGACATAACATTACATTTGATACATACATACATACATTACCTTACCTTACCTTACCTTACATTACGTTACATTAGATTACATTAGATTACATTACATTACATTGCATTACATGCATGCATGCATGCATGCATGCAAGAATGCATGCATACATACATACATACATACACACATACACACATACATACACATCCATCCATCCATCCATACCTACATACATACATACTTACATTACATTACATTACATTACATTTCATTACATTACATTACATTGCGTTACATTACATTACATTACGTTACATACATACATATATGCATACCAATACATACCAATACATCCATACATACCATACATACCATGCACACCATGCATACCATGCGTGCCATACATACCATACATACCATACATACATCACATGCATACATACATCACATGCATACATGCATACATGCATACATGCATACATTCATTTTTATATATATATATAGATATATGATATATAGATCTACACGGGGAAAGTGTACCAATCTCTTGTCAGTATGGTGACGGACAGCGAGGGGAAAGATCTGGGCCACCTCTCTGCTCCCAACCCAAGCAGTGTCGTCCTTCCACGGGGTGAAGGATGGAGTTGTGATGTCGTGGTAAGGATTCCAAAGCTCTGTCTCCTGTCGCCATGGTGACCATCTGGCCGTTTTCTCATCCAAGGATGATAAACTATGATAAACTAATGACCTGTAGGTATGTACCAGCAAAAAATATGTATGATACATGCAGATTTGTCTAAAATTGAGCCATACCAATAATATATAATACCCAAATTGGATTTTCCCGGATGGACACATAATACATATGGAAAAATGTGATGTTTCGAAATCGGGGCCCAACCCATCTTCAAACACACCTGCATCATTTGGGCTTTTGCGCTGCAAACTGCACCGCTAGTTATTTCAATGAGTATTTAATACGTATTTGATTATGTTGGGCAGTAAAAATAGAATTACTAAGACTATGAGAATGTACATAAATACACATAAATTGTAATATATGACAATTACCAATATATTGGGCAAGCTAAATCCCCAAGCTAATCATCAACCAACAGGGGTAGATCGATCGCAGCCACTGTTCATCTGGGGCACAGGTGGGCTTCCAAAAACTGGCGTGGCTGGCATTGGTGGTTGCTACCTCTACAGGCAAAGTAAAATTGCAGATATTCTGAGCAAGTTGGTTCTTTCACTGTATCACCGACATAATTCTGTAATGGATGAATTTGACATATGTACTTTTTATATTCACATTCTGCTGTATAGTAGCAGACATTGCTTTGGTTGCTCTGGCCGCCTTCCTCATTTTTGCAGCCCAGATTCCGTCATCAGGAAGATGGAATCTTCGATATAGCGACGCCACGAGCGGAACGGCCCATCAACTCCTTGGGAGGACGAGGACCCGTTGCGCCCCGAACGGTCTTAGGATGGCCTCCTAAACTCGGCATCCCAACGCAGTGATCACTACACAAGGTGATGGGGTCCCCAAACGATAGCTAAGTTGATTTATGACTTGGTTGGCTAGGGTTCATGGGGAATCTATGAATCTATGAACCTATCTATCTATCTAATCTAATCTAATCTAATCTAATCTATCTATCTATCTATCTAAATAACAAACTAAGTAACGAACTAACTAACAAACTAACTAACTAACTGTTCAGCTATCTAGCTAACGAACTAACGAACTAACTAGCTAACTAACTAACCAACAAACCAACCAACCAGCCAACTAACAAACTAATTAACTAATCTACCTGTCTATCTATCAATTCGTTCTAATGAATTCAAGTCCAGTCTAGTCTATTCTATCCTATTCTATTTCTATTCTATTGTAATTATTCTATTTTTTCTATTCTATCTATCTTGTCTTATCTAATCTAATCTATCAAATCAATCTAGTCAATCTAGTCAATCTAACCGACCTAAGCGACCTAATCGAGCTAATCGAGCTAATCGATCTAATCGATCGATTCGATCTAATCGAGCTAATCGAGCTAATCGATCTAATCGATCAAACCAAGCTAATCGATCTAATCGATCTAATCGGTCCAATCGATCTAATCGATCTATCGATCTACCTATCTACCGATCTACCGATCTACCTATCTACCGATCTACCGATCTACCGATCTACCTATCTACCTATCTACCTATTTACCTATCTATCTATCTACCTATCTAATTATCTAATCTATCATCCTGTCTATACATATATATATATACACACATATATATATAATATACATCTCTCTCTCTTTCTCTCTCTATCGTGGGTATCCAAACCAACAAGCAGTAACATAACTGGGCGGGCCTACCTTGTATCCCACTTCAATCTGTTTCAATCAGCTTGGCCATTCAACCACAGGTTTGGTGCCGAAAATCCAAAGCCTCCTCCCCAGGTGAAGACATGATCTCGTCCCTGTGAACGTTGGAAGTGTGGCAGCTTCTGCAGCAAGCCTCGGGACGAACAAAGCGCCCCCCTGGGATGTGTTCGAAATTTGGATGCTCCTTATCATGAGGCAGTCCAACGATTAGGCCGTGTTTGACATTCTACCACCTCCTAATCAAATGTTAATATGGACATGCAGCATGCATCATGTGTAGATGCTTTACCTGGGAAATCATCCATTTTCAAAATGATCTATGTGAATGAACCGTGGGATAATATTTCATATAATATATCATGGCCAAATGTAGATACCCATCCCTGAACAAGAAAGCTGGTTAGTACCTCCCTATCGAGAACAAGCACATTAATGGCTTTATCTGAAAATAAAGGGCAACCCAAGAGTTGATGGCTAATCATCATTTTCCCTATTAAGCATCATCACGATTGGGGGAGACATATTCCACTTTCAGACACACCCAAACATCACATTGTTGGTTCTATATCCCATCATCTCCCATCATTATCTCATGAAATATTCCCATGCTATCACTATTATGATTTATATTCCCATCTACGAAATAGTGATAGGCTATATAGAACTTACGAATTATTTGCATGCCCATTTGCCATTTGCTAGGGATCACCCTCTAGTAAACGCACATAGATGTGGAAAACGTACCATTTGTAGATCATTTTCCTACGGACATGATGGCTTTTGCACATCTTTTTCGTGTGTTTATCCCAGGGTATCTTGTTGGTAAATCTTTAGCGGCCCTGCGCCCCCAAGCTTTCACCATCAGTTCCAGCTGCTGATGAAGAGACGCTCCGACTCTTCCTAGCACTTGGCTCATCCGAATGGCCGCAGGACTTTTGAGGAAACCGGAGATCAGCAGGATTCCGAAGCAAAAACCTAAAAGCTCACGTAGAAGAATGGTTCCTACAGAACAATGAAAAGCGAACAGGAGATGCTCGATCGAATTAAAAGTCACTCTTGCAGAACACTCTTGCTTGACACTCTTCTCGGACAATCGTGTGGGACACTCTTTTGTGTACTCTTGTGGGGCTCTCTTGTGGAACACTTTTATGGGACACTCTTGTGAGACACGGGTTGTTTAAACATTTTGCTCGACACTCTTGTGGCACACTCTGACAAAACACTCTCTCTGAATACTCTGAAACACTCTCGTAAGACACTCTTGTTGGACACTCTTGAACTCTTGCTTGACAGATCTGGAACACCTCGCAGTACTACTTTGAACTACAAAGCGCCCACACAGTACCTCACAGTACTACTTTATACTGCATATCTAGCACCGAGTCATTCCCAGTACTACTGTGTACTGCAAAGCTTGCACGAGGCACTTCCCAGTATTACTTCGCGCTCCAGACCCCACACTCCATACTTAATTCTCCACACATCACACATCACACATCACACTCCACACTTTCCACTCCACACTCCACACTCCACACTCCACACTCCACACTTCACAAACCACATTCTACACTCCACACTTCACACTCCACACTGCACACTTCACACTCCACGCTCCACACACTCCACACACTCCACACACTCCACCCTCCACACTCTCCACTCTCCACTCCAAACCCCACACCTCACACTCCACACTTCGCACTTCACACGCTCCAAATTCCACACTTCACACTCCACACTCAACGCTACACACTTCCCAAACCACACTCCACACTCTTCACTCCACAAGTCACACTCCACACTCCACACCCCACACAACACTCCACACTTCACGCTCTAGCTCCGCACTCCACACACTCCACACACTTCAGACTTTACACTTCACACTCGACTTCACACTTCACACTCCACACTCCATTTCGCACTTTGCACCCTCCACTCCACACTTCACACTTCACACTTCACACTCCACACTCTCCACTCCACACTTCACACTCCACACTCTGCGCTTCACAATTCACAATTCACAATTCACACCCAACACTCAACACTCAACACTCCACACTGCACACTTCACACTCCAGACTTCACACTTCCCACTCTCCACTCTCCACTCTCCACTCCACACCCCACACTTCACACTTCACACTCCACACTTCACACTATACATTTCACACCTCACACTTCGCTTGAAACCCCACTGCACACCTGGCACTACACACTTCACACTTCACACTCCACTCTTAACACTCCACACTTCACACCTCACACTCCACACTTCACACTCCACAATTCACACTCGACGATCTCCACTCCACACTCTGCACTTCACACTTCACACTTCACACTTGTACTGCAAAGCTTGCACCAAATACCTTCCAGTGCGGCTTAGTACGGCTTTGTACTGCAAAGCTTGCACAAAGTACTTCCCAGTATTACTTTGTACTACAAAGCTTGCACAAGGAACTTCCCAGTATATAGTACTTTGTGCTGCACTGCGTGCACAAAGTACTTCCCAATACTACTTTGTACTACAAAGCTTGCACAATGCACTTCCCAGTACTACTTTGTACTACAAATCTTGTACAAGGTACCTCCCAGTACTACCTTGTCTACAAAGCTTGTACAA